TTTTTGTGGATAGAGGCAAAGGCAGAATGCTGTGTTTGACACCTGCTCCTCAAGGCCCCTTATGAAGGCATGTAGAAGGGGAAAGTCTGGGGAAAAAGGTCTGAAAAGGTCCCTGAAGCTGATCCTTAGTCTAAATTAAGGCTGAAATTGACTTTGTCCAGGCCTATACAAGAATGTATTTTTCTCTTCTTTCTTCCAGAGTCTGAGAGAGCTTCTGCACCTGCATCTCCCACTGTCAGCAGCTCTTCCTCTCCTTCTTTCACAGCATCAGCGCCAACAAAGACAAGCCCCGTTACAGACATACCTCCTACAACAGCACAACCACCACTTATCCTGCAGCCTCTTGCCTCTCCCCTGCAGGTTGGGGTCCCGCCTATGACTCTTCCAATCATCCTCAACCCAGCTCTAATAGAAGCCACCTCTCCTGTTCCCCTCTTAGCTACTCCACGGCCCACTGACCCCATGACAACCTCTGAAGTCAATTAGCTTGAAGGTATCTGAGAACTGTCTGCTGAGGAGGCTCTGACAGAGGATGCTGGCCAAATGTTCTCTGATAGCAAGCATGTTTGATTTAGAAGATGATGCTAACCTGCACAGAAGGCAGCTGCAGCAAACCCCCAGAGCATATCACATTTGTTCCTTACTAGAGGCAACTGCCAAGAAATTCCTGACTGCTCCCTTCTTGGTATCCAGTTCCACTGACCAATCTCCTTCCTGCCTTCACGATCTCAGGGACCAGGCAACACCCACACCCAGCAGCCTGGGACCAAGCTGCCAACGTGTCATCTGGTGAAAAGGGAAAACACATTGATTTAACACTGGAGAGGGACAACAGTATAGGACTGCCTCTCAGATTGTTCAGTTCAATCCCTGGACAATTCCCCAGCTGTTTCCTGGCTTTCCTGCTCCTGCTTCTGGCCGCACTGCTTTATTTGGGCTGTGGGTATGCCTGGGCTCAGCAGGTTGAAAATTTTGCGTAGAGGATTGCTCACAGTGTAGTTTCCAGCTTGCTATGCAGGGCTTCTTGTATGCTGTAGCCATATGCTTTCCTTCTGCAACGTGGATTGCAATAATTCCCTGACCAGTTAGGGAGCAGGGGAGCCTGGTAGGAACAGTGCTGCCTTCCTCCTCTCCTCCTATGTAAAGACCGTCTGGTGGGCAGAGCAAATTCAGGAGCCTTTACCTAGTTAATCAGATTAGGAGGAAATGCAGAGCCCTGTAATGTCAGAGCAGAGCACCATGGCCATCTCTCCAGCAGCGCTTGGGGAGCTGCTCCCCTTGGGTTGCACAGCAGTGCTGCATTGTCCACCACTTGCTTCGTTGGCCCAGAGTTGTCCCCTCCTCTTCACTCAGAGAAGATGCTGAGATCAGTGGCACCTGCTGGCAGATGCCCAGCAAGTCTGCTGTGCTGAGGAGCAGCTTTCTTTTGGCAGCTCCTGCGAAGATTGCACCTTTATGCATTTTCTGGTTGTCGGGAGCCCACCTCCTTTTCTACCCAGGGTCTCCTGCAGCTGATAGTCATCATTCCTGTGTTTCGGTCTTGCAGCAAGGATGTCCTGCTCTTCCATCCTCTCATATCCAGAGCAGAGCTGGCTGGCTGCCTGGCAAGCACTGCATCTCAGTTCTTCCTCCTTTCTGAATTAGTTGGCTAAATTCTCAGTAATACCAATCTCAGAAATCCCAGTGGTGACTGGGAGGGACACAGGCGTCAACTCCAACCCAGTGTATGCTGTACTGAGAGAAACCCAAGGTTGGGGTGGGAGTACAGCCAGTGTACATATGGGGTAAATGGCTTACAAATCCAATGGACTTTTTACAGTGTAATAAATACATCCTGTAAATGAGTGCTCTAGTGTTGCAAACCTTTTCTGTTGTAATTTTTTGGCCCAGAGCTTTGAGAAGAGTGGAGTTGAATTATCAAGGGTGCTGCACCTTTCCACCAACCCAGTGGCTCGGCACTCTAACAAAGTGAGGGGGAGCATGGATGAACTTGTTCTAACACCTGGTTGGTTCCTCTGCAGGCTGCAATGAAGACAAGCCACGCAGAGGCTAAGTAGAAAAGGTTCCAGCATAGTTAAAAAGGAGCTGTAAGATTAGTGCCACACAGCCAGGACTGAAGGAAGAAGGCAAGGGTTGAAGAGCAGGTGCCCTGCAACATCTCAGCATACAGCCCCCTCTGTGACGTGTCTGCCTGCCTTTCTATCTGTTGCAGAAGAACTCCTCATTTGCACTGACAGGACTCTGGGTCAGCAGGAGATCCTGGAGTCTTCCAGAGCTAGTCCTTGCATGGATGTGGGCAACCACAGTTGCTTCCCTCATGGTGCTTTCTGCTTTGTGTTGTAGCAAGATCCACACAGTGCCTTTAGAGCTGTGCAAGGCATCTGTGCCTTCTGTTCTCGGAGAATTCCAGAAGACTTACGAGCTTGATAACGAGTTTTAAGAAGTTGGAATTTGTTTAAATTTCATGGGCAAAGGTCTAAATATTGCGTAATGGAAGTGTGACACGCAAGCTAGGAAAGTCCCGTTCATAAATCCTGGTTCTTTTCCCCATTCCACCATTTCTGAGGTATTTTCATCTAGTTAACCTTCTTCAGCCTCCACTGCTTCGAAAGTTATGGTCCTTCCTGCCCTCAGATATTTTCCTTCATGTATTTGAATTCTTGCACTGCCTGCCCATGGTGCTTCTATAACCTATCTGCCCTGTACTTTCAAGCCTTGACTTCGATTTACAGCTCTGTTTTTCTAAGCTGCCTGCTGAAACCTTTAGATGATTAACTCTTTGTAAACCATTACTCAATTCTAAAGTGCCTTTGTGTGAGCACTGCTGCCCTCTGATCCCTGGACACTTGGCCAGCCCTTGGACTGCTTGATGTGCTGTCACGTCGTGGCAAAGCCCAGCACTTGCTGCTGCCTGACGATAGTTGTTTTGGGGACGCTGTGTTTCAAACTGTTTGCAAACACACTCTGTATTTGCTACATTTTAATTCCGAAAATTGTGGTGCAAAGCAAAAGCTAGCAGAGGGAAACTGCAGGAAATGGGACTGGAATGTAAAGAATGTAGGATAGAAAGACAAAATTATGCTTTAGACAGTCTTTGCTAAACTGCAGATAGGAATGGACAGAAAAATAGATTCATTTCAGTGTTGTTTGGATTGTGTGATAAGGAGGATTTTGTGTGTTACGGAAAGAAACAACCAGAGAAATTGCTTGTTCTAGTGTGAGCTGAAGGAGAAGAGGAACGAGCTGGCAGGTTAGTGTGTGCTTGAGACCATTCTAGTGACCGAGCTGCCGTGAACCCTCTGTGACCAAAGCCCTGGGACAGCGTGGGGCCAGCAGCTGCTGGGGAGGAGGGGAGGTCCTGGCGCTGGCCCTGGGGTTTGTCCCAGCGTACACTTCTTCAGACTTGGACTTCTTTCTCATTTTTACGGGTCTGACTCACTGTTGTTCCAGAGGATGCTGGACAGACATCACAGCAGTTGGGGTTTGCTTGCCTCTTGCCGTTCCAATGTACATACACCAAGAACTTCTGCAGCTGAAATGGAGCAGGCATAAATGTCAGCGATCAGCATATGTCAATAGGACAGCTTACTGTGAAGCTTTCTAATGAAAAAAAGCCCCATTTAAAAGATAAGCTGTGGCTGCAAAACATAAATTTGGCACTGAAACTTCAAGTGCAGACTCTGAAGCGCTGCAGCTTTTAATCAGATGCACTGTGGAAACAACAATAATGGCCAAGCAGCAAGTGTGCTAGGCAGCTCTGCTGTGCTGGTACGAGGTCAGTGAGGTGCGCCTCGCTCCTGGAGCTGCCGGCTGCTGAGCTCCCTTGGAAAATCTGCTCTTGTTCAAGCCAGATGCTTCCTGAAACTGCAGTCCCCACTGCTCCGTACCACCTGTGCGTGCAGAGCAGCCAGCTTGGCTTTGCGCTGCCCATCCCCATTGTCCAGGAACAATCCCAGCCCCGCCGAGCTGCTGGAGGCCACAGCAGCTGCAGCGCTGCCCAGCGTCCCCACAGTGGGTGGCATTGTTCTGCTGCCGCCGCCATGCAGAGGGCTGAGGCGGGAGTGCGGCCTAGTAATGGAGTGGCGGAGGATTGCGCCCCACGGTGAAAGCTCGGTGAGGTGCTGCGCTCAAAATCATGGAGTGAGCACAGACCTTTGAGGAGCTCCGTGTGGACTGCAGTTCAGATTTTTGGGAAGGTCTTCGCGAGCAGCTGGGCCCAGTGTGCAGCGCAGCACCCTGTGTTGCATAACCTCTGCTGGAGCGAGGTGGGGGCACAGGTAGGGCACGGCACTGCCTGCTTCCCGCTGCTCCTCGCCCGCAGCCAGGGCCCGCACACCCACTGGCAGCAGGAAGGCTGGGGGCCTGCAGCCACACGCCCGGGGCAGCAGGGGGGTGTGCTGGGATGGGGTGCAAGCAGGAAATGTGGCTGCTGCTGCCATGGCACGACTCGGCTGAACAGCCAGGGCCGCTGTGCTTCCTCTTCTGTGTGCAAGTCCACCAATTAAGAAAAACAGAAACTTTGCTGTGCGGTGGGACTGAGGGGCTGCAGTCAGCCCTCAGGAAGGGTCAGGGCAGGAGACTGTGGTATGTGTTACACAGCTGGCAGGGGGCGAGATGAGCGGCCGGGCCGCCGTGAGCCCTGTTCCCGCATATGCCAATGCACAGGGAAGAGGAGGGAAGTGAGAGACGTCCTCCCGGCCCTGCTGCTCCGCGGTGCACAAGCTCTGCGCGGGGAGCTGCGCCTGCCGTAGGCGGGGTGGTATCGGAGGTACGAAGCATCGCTGTGGCGGGGAGGGCTCCGTGCGCACCCGCTCTGTGCCCGCCGCCCCGCTCCGTGCCCCGCCGCTCGCTGGCCGGCGGCGCTGCCGCCACGTGGCGCCCGGGGTCGGGCCGGGCGAGCGCCGCTCCGCGCTGCCCGCCGGGCGGGGCGGGCTCTGCCGCCGAGTGGGACCCTGCGGGGCGGAGCCGGGCCGTCCCGTCCCGGCGCGGAGCGGCGGTGCCGACCTCGCTCCTCCCGGCCCCGGCCCCGAGGCGGGCGCTGCCCATGGGGAGCGCGGCCCGTCGGCCGCCCGGCAGCACGAGACCCCGGCGCTCGGCCCCGGCCCGCGGGGCGTGCCTGGCCCCGCCATGCCCGCCTGGGCCATCCTGCCCGTAATGCTACCCGCCTTCACGATCACCGGCATGTGGATCGTGTGAGTACCCCGCGGCTGCTCCCGCCGCACCCCCGCAACGCCCGTCCGCGACTCCGGTTCGGGAGCTGCGGAGTCCCGCCCGCCCCGGTGCCCGCCCGGCGCCGGGGTGCTCAGGGCGGGAGAGCACGCGGGTTTCGTCGCTCGTACGGGGCACGGGCTGTCACCGCTGCCGGCCCGCCTGCTCCGACTCGGCCCGGGTTGGCGGCCGTCCCCCCGGCTGCCCCGATCTCCGGGACCAGTAGTGCGGTGCCGCTGGCACCGGACGAGGGCTTTCCCCAGGTGAGGGCTGCCCCGCGCACTGTCCCGCTGCTCGCTCCCCTGTTACGTGGCACCCAGGGCTCCGCGGGGCTCCTCTCACCCGTGCCTTCCCTTAACCCGACCCGTCTGTCCCAGCGGCTGCAGCGGTGTGAGCTGCGCGGGGCTGCCGGTGGGCTGGGCCGACCTGTGCCCGAGGTGGCACACGGTGACGAGCAAGGTGCTAGACACGGGCAGTGCCGCTGGGGCTCCCCCTGCTCACGCCCCCCTCGTGCTGCCGCAAGGCTGTTTGCTGTGGCGAGCCCACCTCGTCCCCCACCTGTCTGCTGCTGCTTCTTCGTGCTGTACCTGCGTTTATCCGACGCCGCGGTGAGGAGCAGAGCGAGGCTGATCTGCACGTGGAGCCCTACCGGCACCGGGCCGCTTCTCCAGACTGCCCCGAGCCCGTGGCAGCGGGAGTGCGGGCGGCGGGGAGGGGACGGGCCACCAGAGCAGCCATGGGAGCAGCCTTGGCTGCGCAGGACCCCAGCAGAAGGCAGGGTCGGGGCGCTGACAGGGCCCGGCCCAGCAGGGACCTCTGGCGCATAGCTGGCCTCGGCCGCTTACAGGGGCACGGTTCCTACTCAGGGCAGCCAGGGGAAGGCAGTGTGCAGTGCCCTGCAGGCAGCCCCGGAGCAGTGCCCAGGTTCATAGCCGTGACTCCGCTCTCATTTTCCATAGGTATGCCATGGCACTCTCCAACAACCACATCTGCCCTGTGCACAACTGGTAAGGTCGGGGCGGCAGGGCCCCAGTAACACGAGGGGACCAGAGGTCCCCTCCAGACATCACCTGCTTTACCCCTGGGGGTTGAGTGTGGAACCACACGGGGATGCACCGCTTGCAAGGTTGAGCACCACGCTGCTGAGCCTTGAGGGCAGCCAAGCAGGGCTGCAGCCAGCCCCCACTGCACGGTGGCCCGGCTTTGCTGCCCTGTGTGTGGGGACAAAACACTGAGCATGGAAAAAGCGTAAAACGAGCGGCCGGGGAGTTGCAGAGGGCCGTGTGTCTCCATGGGGAGGCTGAGCCCTGCTTGCTGGAGGTCAACCTGTGGTGCCGGCGGGGCTGCAGAGTGCACCCGGCTGTGCCTGGGCTGGGGATGTGCACTGGAAAGGGACCTGTCAGCTTGCTGTGCCAACCCAAATCTACCCAGAAAACCTGAGTTAATTCTCACTAGAGAGCTTGAAGGAGGGAAAAAAAAACAACTGCTGCCGTTTCCTGTCTGATGGCTTACTCTGTCTTGGGAAGAATGTGTTTGTCTCTGTGGCATAAACAGACGTTAATGATGAATAATGCTTCCGAACTTCAGGCTGCTTGCCTTAAAAAAAAAATGAAAAGCTCCCAAACCAAACAGCACCACAAGGGCAGGCCTTGAGGCTCCACGCCTCACTCGGGCTTGCGGTTGGAAAACAAAGCCACCAGTAAATGAGGAGACAGAAAACACACAGCGGGACCGGCCCAGCCCTTCCCAAACCTCCATCCTGTTTAACCGTGTGCTGGCTGAGCTGCTTTGGCTGCAGGCGGGTGCCGTGGGCTCTGCGGCTGTGTGGTGGGGGCACCGGGGCGACCCCGGTGGGGCTCCTCTCGTGGGACCTTTGGCTCCCCAGCCCATCCATTGCTCTCTGCAGGAACTACAACCAGTCGTGCGGCCTGGACAGCCCCGGCTCCTGCTGCACTCTGGATCACATCCCACTGGTCAGGTGAGGGCAGCAGGGGCCTGGAGAGGGCTGAGCGGGGGCTCGGGGTCATCCTTGAGCAGGTCTCAGGAGGACCTTTCAGCCTCGTGACGCTGCTGAGGGCTGCCCTGTCTTGTCCCTGCAGCAAGTGTGGCACCCTGCCTCCTGAGAGCTGCTTCTTCAGCCTCATCTGCAGCCTGGGCTCCTTCATGGGTGAGTGTGTGGCACCAGGCTGGGAGTGGGCTCTGTGTGGTGCCAATCTGTGGGGTGCCCACTGTGGTGGGGAAGGGGGCAGTCGGGCATCGGGGCCTGCTGGCATCAGGGTCTGCATTGGTGCAGACAGGTGCTGTCTCCATCCCACAGTGATCCTGGTGGGGCTGCTTAGGTACGCCCATGTCCTGGAGCACGTTGGGCCATCGCTTCTCAATACCCTGGGGCTGGCTGCCGGCTGGATCTGTGCTGCTGGGCTCACAATGGTGGGCAACTTCCAGGTAAGGCTGCGGGGTGGAAAAGGGCCGGGCAGGGCTGAGATGGGGGACAGGGAGCATGGGGGGGGGCCAGCAGGCCTGGCTGTGTCCAGCTGCTGCAGGGGGTTGTGGTGGTGGATGACATGGGAGCTGGGGTCGTTCTATTCTGTCCGCTTGCTCCTTTGCTCAGCTCTGGGTCGTGTCCTTCTCTGGGCACTGGGGTTGCTCCTTGCTGTGGCTCTGGGCTGTGCTCCTTATCTCAGGAAGCAAATGCCGAGACCACAGTCTGCTGCTGTCTGCTGGGCAGGGTCAGGAGGTGGTGCTGCGAGCACACCTCGGTGGTGCCCCGGTCATCCCCAGCTGACACTACGTATTCCATGCCCGCAGGTGGATCACGCCAAGGTGCTGCACTACATTGGGGCAGGGGTGGCCTTTCCCACCAGCATGCTGTTCGTCTTCCTGCAATCCGTCCTCACATACCGTGCGGCCAAGACCCGCGGGCACTACTGGACCGGCCACCTGCGCAGCATCCTCACGGCCATGGCTTTTGTCACCCTCGTCTTCAGTATCCTTCTCCAGGCCCTGTGATCTGGGCAGAGACAGGCTCCAGACTGATGCCGTGTGGTCTGGGGATATGGCAGCCTGGCAGGGCTCCAGCCGTGTGCTGGGAGGAGCCAGGAACCAGCTGTTTTTATTAACAGGTATTTTGAGCCCTTGGCAGTGCACAGTCTGAATTAGCTATAGCAGTGCCCTGGCAAAGCTGAGGCTGACACAAGCGGAGCACAGAAGCACTTTGTGCAGGTGCCCAGCATAGGAAAACCGCAGCAGCCTGCAGGCAGGGCACAGCCCTTGGTCCACACTGGGGCTTCAGACCACCTGCGGGCAGGGCCCTGTGCGAGGGGCAGTGCTATGTGGCTGTGGCTGTGCAGGGGCTGGGAGTGGGTTGGGGAGCAGCACAAGGCACAGGGGCTGGAGGAGAGGAAGAGCACGGGGACCTTTTGAGGTTTTGGGGTGGTGCGATTGTGCAGAGGGTGCTGTCCTCTGTGGGTATCTGGGATATGGCCGTGGTTTCCTTGACCAGCACAACCTTGGGTGGTGTGTTCTTCATCCAGGAGAGCTTCGTGCTGCAGCATGTGGCTGCCCTGTGCGAGTGGGTGTTCATCATTGATGTCCTAGTCTTCTATGGCACCTTCACTTTTGAATTTGGGGCCATCTCCACAGACACCTTTCTGGTGCTGCTGAAGGCAAGCCGGGCCCCCAAGAGCCACAAAGGGGAGGACAGCCTGCCTGGCGCAGAGGGGCTGCCCATGCTTTGAGCTCCGTGCCACGAGCATCTCCCTATCCAGTGCCTCTGGGTGCAGTGTGTGTGTGTGCGTGCGTGTGCACGTGGTGCTCTGTACTGCCCTCCCACCTGGGTTGCAGCCCCAGTTCCCCAGTCCCTGCCCAAGGGCTGGGCCTGCCTCTTCTCGGCTGCCAGACACAATCAGGATCCCTCTGCCCAGGCTCTGGCCATTGGCTTCCCTGGGATGTCTCTGTACATTCCACGCTCCTTATCAGCCAGCATGGGAGGCCTTGCAGGGCAACAGCTTCTTGGGGTGTGCAAGTCTTGTATGGCCCCTGCTGTTCCCGGGGCTCGTGGGAGGGCGCTGAGTGGGTGTGTGTGGACATAGAGCTACGTATATGTATATATATATGTATATATACACATACTATATAGTTTTCCCTGTCCCTTGAGAGGGGTGGTTGCTGCTGCTGTGCGCGTTGATCAGGTCGTGCTTTCCGACCAGCTCACAATCGGCCTAGAACCCACCGGTATGTGTAGTTCAAAGAGGATTTTTATATATAATATATTAAAAAAACCCAACAAAACACAAACAGTTACTAAGCGTGCACGAGCCGTAACAAAACAAACTGCAGCCGCGCAGGCCCCCATCGGCCGGCTGCCCCCCGCCCCGCCCCGTGTCCCCGTGTCCCTGCGAGCGGGGCGGGCCTGGAAGCCCGGGGAGGCGGGGCCGGGCCGGGACTTTCCCGGGGCAGCGACGGCCGCGCGGGGCCGGCGGTGAGCGGCGGTTCGGAGGTGAGCGGCGGGGCGGCCGCGTTGTGCTCGGGGTCGCGGGTGGGGGGGGGTGCCGCCGGTTCCCGCAGGGCTCCGCTGCTCCCGTGCCGTGCCGTACCGCGGGGAGCGGGGTTGAGGCTGGGGGTTCGGAGCTGGCATCCGTCCCTGCGGTCGACCCTGCCCGGGGGAAGGTCGTGTGTTTCCTTGTTGAGCTCGGTGGGTGCAGCTGCGCGGGGAAGGGCCCTGCAGGGCTGCCCTAAAGCTGCCCTGAGGCCGATGCTGTAGTGGTGATGTGGGTGATGCGGGGACCGGGATGGCGACAGGGAACGAGAGGGGCTTCTGGGGGCTGTGCGGGCACACGGCAACAGGAGAGATGTAGCTGATCGGAGTGTGGCCAAGGTTTGCCCAAACGAAGTCAGCTGTGATGGGAGGATTGCCCTCAGTGGATCCGTGCTAGAAATGGGCAGTGGGCTGGGAGTCTGGTGGCCATCGATGCCCATAGCCGCGACAGAACAGAGCCTGGAGTTGTGCAGAACGCACAAGGTTGGGAATTTAAGGCTGTGATTCACGGCTTTGGCAGGCTCCTGGGGTGCAAAATGGCAGAGGAGCAGCCCGGGGGGGGGGGCTGCAGCACGATGCCTGTATGCCAGCGTGGGTTGGAGTGCTCCTGCTGTATCCTGTGCTCCTGGAGCAGCTCCCTGGGGCTGCTGCACATCCTGTTGGCAGACAGACTGATGGACATGGAGCTACCCTCCTGCCTGCAGGCAACCAGCTCAGCAGCTGTTACAGGAGGGAAGAGAACAGCACCTGCATTGATGGGTCACGTTCAGGAGGCTGTGGGCACGAGAGCGTGGCTGCACGAGTGGCAGTGGCAGGCCCTAGCACCTGAGCTGTGAGAAGGCCTGAAGATACAGGGCAGGAGGGAAGTGGGCTCCCCTGGGGCCCTGCAGGGGGGGATTGGGGCCTCCTTGCTGGTTTAGGGCTGCTGCTTGGTGAGGAAGACAGCCCCTGGCCTGAGAGCAGGGCTGAGTTGTGTGGCTTCCAGGAACAAGGAAACAAAGCTGTCCCTGGCCCTGCTTATAAGACAGGTGTTCCAGCTTCCCCTGATACATGGACACAGGGAAGGGAAAGCTCTGGAGCAAGGTGTGGGCTGGCCAGAGGGCAGATGCTACCCTGTGATGTGCCCTTGTTATGCTGTGTGCTGCAACAAGGGCAGTGCTGAGGAAGCTGTGAAAACCCCTCAGGAAGGGATAGAGAAGGGGGAGCTGCTGCTTGTGAAGGACACAGTGGGCCCTTCCCAAGGGCTCATTGGGCAGAGTGAGGGGCTGTCCCACTATGCTGTGGTGCAGAGATATTCTTCCCTTCCTATGACATCCATGCCAACAGCTCTGGGGACTGGGGGTGCAGGGACTGGATCCCAAGCAGGTGCAGTGCTCCCCACCAGTGCAGGGCCAAGAACGTGCTGTGCTCTTGGGCTCCGGGAACAGCCTGAGGAGGGTCCTCCGGCCCACACCTAGGCTCAGACACTGCCCTGGCTGCATCTGCAGGCAGGGGCACAGGGCAGCCCCTAGGGGCCCAAGGAGCTGGAGAATCTCCTGGAAGAAGCGCTTTTCAGGTTCCGAAGAACATGAGTCACGCACGAGCTGAACAATCCCCTTCCTTCCCCTGTCTCCCACACACCCAAAATCCCCCAAGCGGGACCTGCAGCGGCCACTGATTCAGAAAATCATGGTATGAGGGCACGGCAGACTCAGATATATATATTTTTTTTTCCTTGCTCAGCGAAGAGAAGGGATGTGGAGGAAGCGAACTCGACCCGCGCTGCCCTGACCTTGTCCTCTACCCGAGCTCCGTGGCGATTCCCTGCGGCAAACCCTGACGCGGCGATGCTGGGGCTGGACGGGCTGCTGCGGCCGGCCGCCTCCGGCACGGTGAGCCGGGGATGCGGGCGCTGGCAGAGCGGGAAGGAGGGACGGGAACGCGGGCGGCAGACGCTGCCCGCGGCCCCTCGAAGGGGAGGACGGAGGGCCGCCCTTACGCGGAACCGGCGCGGCGGCGGGGCGGCCGCTCCTCGCCCTGCCCGGGACGCGCCGCGGGGCTGCGCCGTGAGCCGCGGGCGGAGCGTCCCCCCGGGTGCGGGGCCGTGCACCGGAGGTGCCGCCGGGATTTCCAGTCCTCCCGGGGCTGCCCCCGCGGGGCCCCGCCGCTGACTGATTGCGATCCTCCCGCTCCGGGCCCAAAACTCCCCGGGTGTTTCGGGAGGGATGGAAGCGGCTCGCCCCGCGTCCGAACCCCCGCGCCGCCCCCGCCCCGCGCCGCCCTCCCGCCGCTGGTTGCCGCGGGGCCGTGCCGAGCCGGCGGGGTGGGGCGGGGCGGTGACGCGCGGGGCCGTCATTTCCCGGCTCCGCGGGGTTTCTAGGGACTTTCCGGAGCGGCGTGCCTTCCTGCCGCCGCCGGCCCCGCTCAGCGCCCGCTGTTCCCGCAGGCCGGCGGCCGGCCCCGCAGCGACATGGACGAGCACTTCCAGCCCGTGAGTGCGGCCGGGGGTCCCGCGGGGTGCTGTCTGTCTGCTTGGGTGTATGCGTGTCGTCTGGTTGCCTGTCTGTCTGCCCGTCTGTCTCTCTGCTCGGGTTGGGGTCAGCGGCAGACCCCGGGGACGAGGTGGGCTTTCTGTGCCTGCTGCCCCTCATCCCTGAGAGGTGGGGAGGTACGTGGGGGTCTGCTCCTGGCCAGCGGGCTCAGCCCTGCAGCTCATGCTGCTCTCCCCTCCCAGTGCCTGGATGGGATTGACTACGACGATTTCAGCTTTGGCTCCCACATGGTGGAGCAGAAGGAGCCCCTGATGGAGACAGGTAAGGGCTGCGTCCCCTTGGGTGGCTCGCAGCAGCCCCATGTTCCCCTGTCCCCAATGTGGGCTGGCTGGGAGCCCAGCCCTGCGCTCCAGAGTGGGGCTGTGCCGCCTGACCCCGCTGCGCCCTGTCTGCTGGGCTTCACCAGCACCTCTCCTCTTTGCCCTCCAGCAGTCGGCCCCTACCTGGTGATCATTGAGCAGCCAAAGCAGGTAAGGATGGCACACGGGGGAGAGCAGGCGGAGCTGTCACCTCCGCAGGGCACATTGTCAGTGCTGCCGTCAGGCTGAGCTCCACTTTGCTTTCTGCAGCGGGGCTTTCGATTTCGGTATGGCTGCGAGGGCCCTTCGCACGGGGGGCTGCCGGGAGCCTCCAGCGAGAAGGGGCACAAGACCTATCCTACTGTCAAGGTGAGTGCTGTGCTGCCGTGGCCCTGGGAGTGCACATGGGTTGGGATGATGCTCGGAGGAGGGAGTACGTGAGCCAAGGATCTAAGGAGCCCCAGGTCCGACTTTGTGCCTCAGCTCCCTCCTCCCCGCAGATCTGCAACTACGAAGGGATAGCGCGCATCGAGGTGGACCTGGTGACGCACAGCGACCCTCCGCGTGTGCATGCGCACAGCCTGGTGGGCAAGCAGTGCACCGAGGCCGGCAACTGCGTCGCTGTCGTGGGGCCCAAAGACATGACGGCACAGTGCGTGTGGGGCGTTTTCTGAGAGCTGCGGGAGTGGGGCGGGAGCTGCGTGCGCTCTCTTGCTGCGCGCAGAGTTCCCTGTAGGTCCCATAAATGCAACCCCTGTGCTGGCCCAACCGGCTTCCATTTACATCCCCTCCAGCCCTGCGAGTCCCCACTGTGGCTGTTGGGGTCCTCTCTTCTGGGCTCCTCTCTCGCCGTGGCTGTGCACCACTGCCCCCGTGCCATGCCACTGTCTGCTGCTGCTTGGCTCTGTGCTGACTGTGGGCTCTCCTGGGCAGGTTCAGCAACCTGGGAGTGCTCCACGTCACCAAGAAGAACATGATGGAGATCATGAAGGAGAAGCTGAAGAAGCAGAAGACGCGCAACACAAACGGGTTGCTGACAGGTGAGGGCGGTGTGGGTTGGGGTGGTGGGGCCATACAGCGTGGGGCAGCTGCTGGGCACAGAGTGTCTGACGGTACCCCCCCTGCAGAAGCTGAGCTGCGTGAGATCGAGCTGGAGGCCAAGGAGCTGAAGAAGGTGATGGACCTGAGTATCGTGCGGCTGCGCTTCACCGCTTACCTCCGTGACAGCAGTGGAAACTTCACTCTAGCACTGCAGCCCGTCATCTCTGACCCCATCCATGACAGCAGTGAGCATGGGGCTGCTGTGGCGGGGACATGGGGGGGGGGGGGCCGCCCTGCATGGGGTTACGGTGCTCTGGGTGTGCTGCTCCCAGCTGGGTGTTAACCGAGCATGTGAGTGGCTCCGTTTTGGCCTCCCTGGGCTTCTAGTGCTCTGAGGGGCTCCTGACACTTCCTGGCCCCACAGAGTCCCCTGGTGCTTCCAATCTCAAGATCTCGCGGATGGACAAGACTGCGGGCTCAGTGCGGGGTGGGGACGAGGTCTACCTGCTTTGTGACAAGGTGCAGAAAGGTAAAAGGCTGCAGCTCTCGACACGGGCTGCAGCCAAGCAGACGTGAGCCCCGTGGCTGTGTCCCTGCAGCCAGGCAGCAGGGCAGGCGGTGCCCAGAGTCCCTTTCCTCCCCAGATGACATTGAGGTGCGGTTCTACGAGGACGACGAGAATGGCTGGCAGGCCTTTGGGGACTTCTCCCCCACGGACGTACACAAGCAGGTGCAGGGGGATGGCGCGAGTGGGTGCCTGTGGGGTGGGCAGGCCCATGTCAGGTTGCAGGCCAGAGCAGAGCCCAGCGCTGTCCTCCTGTCCACAGTACGCCATCGTTTTCCGCACGCCCCCCTACCACAAGCCCAAAATTGACCGTCCTGTCACCGTGTTCCTGCAACTGAAGCGGAAGCGCGGGGGGGACGTCAGCGACTCCAAGCAATTCACCTATTACCCCGTGGTGGAGGGTGAGTGCTGTGGGACGGGGCTCCCGGCCCTGTGGCTGGGCTGCTCCCCTGCCCCTCACCCCCCTCCCCGTCTCTCCCTGCAGATAAAGAGGAGGTGGAGCGGAAGCGCAAGAAGGTGCTGCCTCAGTTTCCTCAGCACTTCGGTGGGGGCTCACACATGGGGGGTGCCGGCGGTGCTGGGGGCTTTGGAGCAGGAGGAGGTGAGTGGGAACGTCCCGCACCCTGTGCTGCCAGCCTGGCCTGACCTGGCCCTGACCTGGCCTTTGCTCCACAGGTGGTAACCTCAGCTTCCCTTATTCATCCGGACTGGGATACAACAACCTCTACTCCTCCAGCCCGCACCCTGTAGGGGGAGGGTACCAGGGTGGCGTGCAGATGAAGGCCCCCAACGAGAGTGGAGATGGAGGTGACAGAGAGGTGCCTACAGAAAGCAACTACTGCAGGGAGCTGCAGCGGCATGGTATGAGGGTTCGGGCTGGAGGCTGTACCCAGGGGGGCCAGCGGGGGTGTGGGACCCAGAGCCCTCTGGGGCTGACGTCCTGCCTTGCCCTGCAGCCCACCTGTGCCACCTGTGGCTGCTGGCGCACCGCAACGCCCATGCCCTGCTGGACTACTCAGTTACTGCCGACCCCCGCATGCTGCTGGCTGTGCAGAGACACCTGGTAGCCTCACAAGATGAGAATGGGGACACGTGAGTGCTTGGAACAGGGACCAACCAGGGGGGAGACCTGTGGCCATGGAGCTGGTGTGAGGGCTGTCCTCTTCTGCAGGCCCTTGCACCTCGCCATCATCCATGAGCAGACGGCTGTGATCAAGCAGCTAATTGAGGTGGTGGTCAGCATCCCTAGCCAGCAGATCATTAACATCACCAACAATCTGCAGCAGGTATGCGTTCCTGGTCAGCACTGTCACATTGTCACAGAGAAGGGCTGGGGTGGGGGGAGCCTTGCTCCTGAGTCCAGACCTGGGGCTGCAGCTGCCCCATCCCGATGCCATGCATGAGGAGTCAGGGCTGTGCTGGGACAGGCTTGTTGCTGTGATGATGCCTCTGTCCCACAGACACCGCTGCACCTGGCAGTCATCACCAAGCAGCCGCAGGTGGTGCAGCTCCTGCTGCAGGCCCACGCCAACCCCACCCTGCTGGACCGCTACGGCAACTCCCTGCTGCACCTGGCACTGCAGACAGGTGATGAGGAGATGCTGCGGATGCTGCTGGCCCACCTGGGCTCTGCCACCCCCTACCTGCTGTGCTTGCCCAACTTCCATGGTGAGCGGAGTGGGAAGGGAAGGGGCGACGCTGGAGAAGGGCCCTGGTGCCACAGCAGGGTGCTGAGCTGGTGCCACTGCCACAGGTCTCCTGCCCGTACACCTGGCTGTGAAGGCGAAGAGCCCAGCCTGCTTGGACCTGCTGGTCAGGAAGGGCGCGGATGTGAACGGTGTGGAGAGGCAGGGCGGCAGGACCCCACTGCACCTGGCTGTGGAGATGGAGAACCTCAACATGGCCACGCACCTGGTGAAGAAGGTAGGTAGGAGCTGGTTCCTCTCCACGGGGTGGCGGCGGAGGTGGAGGCAGGGCCCGCTCCTTATGGCCTCACACTTTTTTCTGCAGCTGGGAGCAAATGTCAACAGCCGGACCTTTGCTGGTAACACCCCCCTGCACCTGGCTGCCGGCCTGGGCTCCCCAACCCTCACCAAACTGCTGCTCAAAGCAGGTAAGCTGCAGCCCTGCCCTGCTGCTGGGTGCCCCAAGCAACCCCTGCCCTCGGGGCTCAGCCCAGACCTTCTGACAGGGGCAGATGTGCAGCGTGAGAACGACGAGCCCATCAGCCCCTCCTCGTCAGAGGCCAGCAGCGACACGGATGGCGACCCTGAGGAGCAGGAGCAGGCAATGGAGCTGGGGGAGCCAGCCCCAAGCCCCCATCCCACCCCTGAGGAGGAGCAGGGGGAGACAGGGCCTCGGCAGCGCCGCTGCCACACAGCTCTGGACCTGACCCGGAGCCAGAAGGTATGTGGAGATGCACAGGTGGGGGCTGTGGGGTGGGATCTCCAGGAGGTGTGGGGGCAAAGCCAAGCCAGGAGCTCTGCCAGGGCTGGCACCAGCCTGGTGCCCCTCCATGTTGCAGGCCCTGTGGGGTGCTGGGGAGTGTTGATTGGCACTTGGGGCAGTGCTCACATCCCTTCATGTGCCCTGCAGGTGCGGGACATCTTGCTGCAGGCCTCCCAGCTATGCCCTGATGCTGAGCTGCCCACCGCCCCCCGGCCAGGTGAGCAGCCCTGCTGCACGCACAGCAGGGCCGGCAACTCTCTGCCCCCACAGCAACAGGGACAGATGGTGTGTGACAGGGGTACGTGTCCCCACAGGGAATGTGCTGTCTCTGGATGGTGATGCGCTTCAGGGGCTGGAGCAGCTGCTGAACCAGGACAGCAGCGGGTCAGACTGGATGGAGCTGGCTAAGAGGCTGGGGCTCTGCAGCCTGGTGGAGACCTACAAGGACACCCCTTCACCCAGCGTCAGCCTGCTGCGCAGCTATGAGGTCGGTGCCAGGCCCTGTCCCTGTGCTGTCCCCTCTATGTGTCCTCTGCTCACCGTGTTCTCCCTGCAGCTGGCCGGGGGCAGCCTTGGGGGGCTGCTGGAGGCGCTGGACTCCATGGGGCTGCACGGGGCTGTCAGAATGCTGCGCAAACCTGAGCCGCTGGAGAAGCTGCAGAGCACAGGTGTGGGACTGGGGGATGGGAGGGCCCCACTGCCCTCAGCCCTTCCAGCTGATGGCCCTGGGTTTGCCTTGCAGAGGTCAAGGAAGACAGTGCCTATGGGAGCGAGTCGGTGGAGGAGGAGCAGGCGGCCGCCCTGAAGCCGAGGCCAGTGCCAGAGGGCGAGCTGCCCCACAGTCAGCAGCAGCAGGTGCACTGAGGGGCCGGGGGGGCCACGCTGCCCCCCACCCTGCCTCTCCCACACAAGTGCCTTCTGGACTGGGGGCTGCACTGCAGCCCGGCTGCCCTGCTGCTGAGGGCTGGGACACAGCGTGCCAAGCCCCACTCTGCTCTTATTTAATGGTCCCGCGCCTGGTGAATAAAAGGGACACAGTTTCCATTAGCCTCAGCCCTCTGTGTCTGCCCCGGCCCCGAGAGACACAGGGAGAGCAGCCAGCCCATGCCCCCTCAGCATCACCCCAAGTGCCTGTGCTGTCCCCAGTCCCGCTTCTGGGCTGCCTGGGGAAAAACCACAACGCACCAAGAACTGAAGAGCAAGTTTTACTTCAGTAACCGACAGAAGAAGCTGTACAAAGGTTTTTCTCCCCCTGAGCCACCTGGGGCAAGGGTGGAATTATTTTTTTTCTTTTTTCTTCTTTTTTTTTTTTTTTTTTGCAATAGACTCAAAAGAGCAGAATAAAAAGTTTGACACATTCGCATAGTGCTGAAACTGGCGAGGTCCCACGCACCAGGAGCAGCGGCAGCCCCCAGCCCTTCTCCAGCCCCAGTGCCTGCCATCTGCCTCCAGTGCTCCTGCGGCTACGTGAGCACCAGTGTTTGCTCCAAGCGTCCTCCCGGCCGTGCTCACCCTGTGGGCATGCCTGGGAACCGAGAGCCTGCAGCCAAAGAGAAGGCTCTCCAGCCTCTGCTCCTCCTCTTCTTATTGGAGCGGCACTCAGCTTTGCATCCTCCAAGGCCCTTGTGATGCTTTGGAGAAGTGGCACTGGAAGGAAAGCCCCCTTCTCTCCATCCCCCACCCCATACCCACCTCTGCCCAATGCACGTCCAGGCAGGACCCAGGGCCACGTCCAGACTGCAGAGCTGTGCCCACATTCGTAAAGAGCCAGCATGTAGGCAATGCTGCTCAGCTCAGGGCTCTGCAGGAGGGCTGCTGGTGCAGGGTGGGGGCTCGCAGCACACCAGTGATGCTCAGCTCACTGTCTGGGGGGGTTCTGCGTCCTTCTTTGAGTCCATGTAAAAACATTTCCCCCCTAGAAGTGCACGGTCTACAGGACGTGGCTGAGTTTGGTGCACTGTTTTTCTGTTTGTTGTTTTGTTTGTTTTTAAATAGTTCCCAAAAAGCATCAAAATTAGCCCCCCAAAAAACTCCCTGGTGGTCAGCTCAATCTGGTACTAAAAAGTGCAAAACTGTATCACAAAAACCGTCCAAAAGTTGTAAGAAAGCAAGAGGCATGGGGGCAGTGGGGAGGGGGACCTGGGTTCCCCCAGCCCTTGGAGTTGGGGGCCAGGGATGGCTCCATTCCACATGGCATAAAGGAGCTTGAGGAAAGCAGCTGGCGGCTGCGCTGCAGTTTTACACCAAGGAAAGTAGCCCAGTCAGGGGGTGTCAGTCCCTGCCCCTCCCGGGGGTGGGGAGCTGGAGGGGAGCCTGCAGCCAAGCACAGAACAAGGGGAGCAGGAATGAGTCCGTGGGGCAGCTCCGACCTGCAGCCCCTTGGTCCTGCCCTACATCTGTCTCTGGCCCAGGGGCCACCGGACTGCTGTTGGTGGCCGAGTATGGCTGTCCCCACCGTGACTCGTGCCCCTGGAGGATGGACTCATGCAGGGTCCCAGCAGGTATGTGGCACCCACCCAGCGCCCTTGGGCAGGATCGGAGCTGCAGCGCAGGCGGCTGATGCCCCTGGCTTATGATTTCTGGGGGTGGCCGGGGGGCTGGCGGCTGGCACGCTCTGAGATGTTGCGCTTCACCTTGGTGCCTGTGCTGGAGGGCTCGGCGTTCAGCGAGGGGCTGGAGCGGGATTTTTTCAGGCCATCATCCTCACCGCCTGCTGCGTCAAAGAGCGTGGATTCAAACGCCGCCAGGTCCTCAGAGCCAGCCTTCAGCTTGGCCCGCAGCAGCATGGCGTAGGTGCCGTAGCGGGATTTCTGGGGACAGAGCACAGCACAGAGAGCAGTAGGGTAGCAGGGCACTGCCTCTTCAGCCTGCAGCCCGCAGAATGCTTCTTGGCCCTCCAGCACAGCCTGGAGGTGCAGTGCCTGCTTCCACTAGAGGCACAGCAAGCCACGGCATAGATCGTCCAGCCCCACCCCTGGGAGCCCCTTACCCATGCTGGGGAGCTGCAGTCCGAGCAAAGCATTGCAGCAGTGCCAGAGGAACCAGATGCAATTCGGCCGAAGAGGTAGGAGAGGTCCCCATGACCTGATGGTGGCCCAGAGCCGGCGCAGGATACAAAGGTCTGCCCTGCTCACCTCAAACTCCAGGTACTCCTCCTTCTGCTTCAGCTCCTCGTACTCCTTGCCCTTCACCTTCTTATCCGGCAGAGAGGAGCGGTGCTCCAGTAGCTCTGCTGACATCGTCTTGAACTTGGACTCATGGCTCTTCACTTGCTCATCCTGGGGACAGGTGACACTGTCAGCACCCCACTGCCCTCACTCCAATGCTGGCATGGTTCTCCCCTCCTGGCTACAGCAGGAGCTCAACTGCCGCTCGCAGTCTTCTAAACACTGCTGGCCAAAGCACAGGCCCTTTGGGTAGGTCTCCTGCTCTTGGTGGGCTGGCTGCAGTCTTAGAGAGAAATTAATCCCCTCTAAAAACTAGGCTGTTTTTTTAAAATCCTTTCTGCTCTATGAATAACTGCGGTGGCACTAGCGAGAGCCAGCTAATCCCCTGCCCGGGCTCCTGTCAAGGTCCTGCCGTGACGCAGGTCCCCCTCATGGGTGTGGGTAGGTGGCCACGTGTGCCTCCATGCCCTGGCACCACCTCTCACCCTGTACCTCTCCCAGCACAGCCCCTCGCTCCCGGCCCACCTGGGACAGCCGGGTGCAGGAGCTGGGGAGCAGCGGGCGGCTGAACTTCTTCTGGGAGCCGATGGCAGCGGGGAAGGGGGGTGCAGAGAACATGGCTGCCACCACGTTGATGCGTGTGATCCACGAGTGCATCTGCTCGGAGTTCCTGGGGAGAAAGGCCAAGCGTGGCACTGCATGCTCTCCCCACCAGTCTTGGCACACCAAGGCCCTGCTCTGCAGAGCCACCCAGTGCTCACAGCTGGCCCCAGCTCTGCTCCAGCAGTGCATGGCCTCAGGCCCACTGGTGCAGAGAGGAGAGGAGCTGGGCAATGCCTAGGAACAGCGTCAGCTCCTCTCCCTTCTAGAAAGGGCGAGGATGTGGAATTTAGCTCATCCCACTCACTACCACCAGCAATGAACATAGCTCACCCCGCCAAGCCCCACTGTGGGACTCACTGTGCTTGGAAGAGAAAGACTCTCCAGTCAGCTGTCCTGAGGTAGAAGACGTTGGGCCTCTTGCTGTAGTCTGATGCCCGTGTGGCAAGCGAGTGGTGGATGCTAATGGCGTTCTTCAGCTCCTCTTCTGCCAGCGCCTTCCCTGGCTTGTATTCCTCCTGCAGGGCACTGGGTGCTTCAGAGCCGGCAAAGGGCTGCTCCCACCACAACCCAGCACCACCGTGGAGGCTGGCCTCCAGCTGAGCCCCGGGGGCAGGGCCCCAGCCTGCACCCCAGGTGACCACAGCGCTCCTCACCTTCTGCAGATAGAGAATCATCCCTTTCAGGATGGCGTGGAAAGGCTTCCAGCCGCGCTTCCCTCGGGGGGCTGCGGGAGAGGAGAGCAGCCCATGGATCACCCTGCCATGAACCGTGCCAAGCTACACGTGACCCCACCCTGGGGAAGTGCAGCACGCCTGCACCGTCCCCGTGCACCTGAGCCCACGCTGGGCACGTGGCTGGCAGATGGGGATGCAGGGGGGGCTACGTGCCTGGGGATGGGGACAGAACGCTGCCACACGCCAGGTAACGCTGGCAGCGCCTGATCGGATCAAGGTGGCATTAGGCAGCCGGGGCTTAGGGAGGATTTCGCAGTGGAAATGGAGAACGTGCCTGGCAGCGCAGAACCTGCAGCATGCTTGCAGCACTGTGGGATGCCTCAGCACGCACCCCCAGCTCTCCCAGCACTGCAGGTAGGGAGAGACCTTCAGCCCCCAGCCTGGGAGTAAATCGCCCACGGCGGCCTGATGCACGTGGAGGAGAGCTGATGCTGCAGGCAGGCTTGATGCTATGTGCAGACCACATAGGGTGACCCCTGCCCTTCTCCCACTCTCAGGGTTCCTGCAGCTCTCCAGTGCCCCCCTCCCTAGACACCTACTTTTCTTGCAGTCGGGATCAGCATGGATCTTGCGCACTAACAGTCCGTGCTTGTAGGTGGCGATGCTGGAGTCCTGGGAGAAGTCCAGGAAGGGGTTACTGCAGCTGCTGATGCGTTTGATGGACTTAGGTTTGGGATCAGCCAGCTCTGAAAGGGACTTCCTCAGCTCCTCCTCGTCTCTGCCAGGTACAGATTTGGTTAGGACAAGGACATAGAGTGTCTATGACCTTGCCGGGGACAGCAAACATCAAGCCTCCCAGGCCAGGCCGAGCAGTTTGCTGTCACTGAAGAGGATCCCACAGCCCAGCCCAGCCCAGCCTTTGTGCCCTTGCCCGCTGAGACTGGCAGTTGTGCTGCTGCCGGGATGAGCCACAGGGGCTCTGTCACTGCTCCTGGCTGGGGGCACCTGTCCTCAGGAGTGCGCAGTCTTTGTGGACATCTGCTGGACTGGCTGATGAGCAGTGCTTCACACCTCTCAGCACACCCTGCAGGGCAGCACACCTCGCTCACACCCTCCCTGCCAACGATATCCCCTCGCCCTCCGGGCTGCATTGCTTCCCTCCCCCGCCCCAGCACGGAGCTATGGGAGCCCGGAGCTGCGGCCTCCCCCCTCCCTCGTAACCGTTCGCTGCTAATTAAACCCCTCAGCATCTGCCGGCGTCTCCATGGCAGCAGCCCGAGCGCATTGGCTCAGCGCTGGCGGAACCGCCGGGCTGATTAATCCCCGCAGCGCGGGCGCTGCCGCTCCTGCTGCTGGAGATGGCAGCTGTAGGCGAAGGTGCAGGCACCCAGGCACCGCTGCCTGGGCACTCAGCAGGGCTCTGCACAGCCACGGCTGCGGGAGCTGCTCTTGGGACCCCATCGTGGTGCCGTGCTGGGGCAGAGGGCTGGCACCCACTGCAGCTCCCTGGGCACCTCCATCCCTACCCCCCAATACAGGCCCTGGGCAGCGGGATGCTCCGGGGCCAGAGTGAATAGGGCTGCCATGTCGTCGGGGTGACCCCAGCACGTGCCAGGCCTACGCAGCCAGTCCCCCCATGGGATGCTTACATGGCCCACTGCAGCTTCTCGTTCTTGATGGAGCCATACAGTGCCTGTGGAGAGAGGAGCGGGGTTTGAGTCAGGGGAGCTGCTCTGGAGATGGAGGAGCAACTGGAGGTAAAGGCAATGCTGGGGCAGCCCATCCTGCACACAGCCCTTCCTTTCTGGCACTGGTGCTGACAGCCAGGCCCCCTTTCTGCACATACTAAGGCTTACAGATGATGTCTGAGCACCACAGGACTCCCAGCCAGGGCATAGTCAGGGCTCCGTGCTGGGGCATGGCCCGGGCTGTCACCCCTGCGCTTCCCTCCTCCTGTGTCTGCCCAGGGCAGTGGCAGAGAGTGAGCAGCACGAGTTTTGCCAGACAGCAGGCTGTCAAAGAGCTGCGGCCACAGGGTGAACTGGGCTGGCCAAATGGAGAGCTTTCAGGCCCAGGACAGAGAACCTTTGGATTGGGGCAGCTCTGCAGGACATCAGCCTTTGCTAGGGCCTGCAGAACTCCTGCATCCCTACAGCAGGCAGCAGCCACCCAACTCTGTTTGTCCTCTTGCACTTGTGGGCACCCACAGACCCCAGGAGCACAGTTACATTTCAGTAACTCAGCAAGATCTGGCATCTGCTCCATGTGGGATCTGCAGCCCCCAGCACTCCGATTCAGGAGCGCTGCAGAGATCTGGTGGCTCTCCGAGAAAAGATGAAAAGCACCTACCCCAGGGTGCTGCAGACTGCCCACCCCCTCTTCCCAGGGCCTCCACACTCTCTGACTCTTGCTGTGTTCAGCAAGGCAGGGCCCGTGCCTGTGTTTCAGCTGTGAAAAAAAAATCTGTTTGCAGATGGGTCTGGGGCTGCGTTCCCAAGCGCCTGTCCGGTCCCAGCTGGGTGCAAGCCACAAGCGCTCAGCCCAGCCCTATAGCACAAGAGGTTCTGGAGAGTGTTCCCAGCAGTGTTCACTCAGCACTCCAGATCAAGGAACAGGACGGGTCTGGAAGGCATCATCCTCAGAGGAAGATAATTGAGTTGTGCACAGACTGTTCAGGCAGCTGCCAACATCCATCTCTTGGCTGGAGACTGCTGGGGAGAAAGCTTGCTGGTGGCTGATAAAGTACAACTGCAGGCTCGCAGGGACCCTGCCAACAGACCCAGCAGCATCTGGGGAAGGCAAATCCATCATCCCGAGATGTGCAGTGGCCAGAGCGGAAGAGGGACTGGGATTATCACATGTGCTCTGCTCGGGGAAGCACTGGCCCAGCACCAGCTTGTTTTGCAGAAGATGAGAGGACCTCCCTGTATGCAGGCAAAAGGCAGGGGTGGCTGCTCCTGGGAAGCCAGCAGCCCTCAAGAGAGGCACAGCCCCAGTGCCCCAGAGTGGGCTGTACCCAGCTCTGTTTGTGCTGCCCTGGGAAGAGCAGGGGACAGGCAGGAGATGGAAGCAGGCTTCTGAGGAGCAATGTGGGCAATACAGAATTGTCATGGGGAGCAAGATGGAAAGCAGCTGAGAAGGACTAAGAACAACAGAAACAAAAATAATAGAAAAAAAGGCACAGAGAAGTGGAGCCAAGCCGGTGAGAACACACTCGGGGAGCAGTTCTGAAAGAGCAATATCTGCACGGTGCTGGTGAGCAGCACAGCGGGGCAGCACTACAAAAACACGGGCTCTGGGACTACATAGAACACTTCAAAAGACAACAGGACTGCTGGCTTCAGAAGGCTCCCACAGCCCCACTACAAGCACCAGAAGCATCCCATGAGTCTGATGTGGGCAGGAGCTGTTGAGCAGCCTCAGACACTGGGCCATAGGCTTCCAGTGCTCCTGCACCAGGGAAACACACAACTGTGAGGTGAGCAGAAGACAGCACAAAGCTTGCACTGCAATCCTGCACTGGGACTCTGTTGGGGCTCTGCCTGCTCACCGCCACCCCCAGCAGGCAGCAGGGTCATGCCTGGAGGGGACAAGTCTGGCCCAGCTCTGAGCTGAGGATGCTTTGCACCACAATGCCTGTTGCTGCTCTCTGTTCCCGCTGCTTGTCCATACTAAGTCCCAGACTCTGTGATGCAGGATCCCTCTGATGGGGCAGAGTGGGCTCTGCAGCCCAGCTCCCCACGGCTGTCAGCACAGACCACAGCACTGCGGCTTATCACTGCAGGTCCCTCTCTCCTGGCCATCTTTGCTCTATGGGTTCATTTCCAAGGTGGCAAATGATGGCATTTTATGGCATAGCTGAATTTGTGAGCACTGTCCAGGAGAAAGCAGGGGGCTGGTGGGGAACTGGCTGACCCAAAGCAGCTGTCTTTTTGTTGCCATCACAGGGTTATGAGCTCACTGCTGCAGAATGCAGGGTAAGGCAGCAAGCCCTGTTTTAGATATGCACAACACCAGGGAGACCCAGGGATGTACTGCTCCAGTGGGACTGCCAATGGAACCAGCACATCTTCCTTCAGTGACCTCCCAAAAGGGCTGGCAGGATGTGCCCAGGTACTGCTCCAGCACGCGTCTGGAGGTGTGCAGGCTGCACTGGAACAGCGTCCTTGCACAGGGATAGCTTGGCTGCACAGACAGTCCTCTTCTTCATCCCTCTGTCTCAGAGCAGTGCAGAGCAGGGGAGATTCAGTGCTGGCATGGGAGCAGGGCAGCAGATGGCCCTGGATGCAGTGTTGGGACAGATGGGACTGCACTGAGGGTTGCAGCCCAGCGTGTCCCTAACAGAGAAGTGGTGTGATGTTCTGCACAAGGGATCTCACAGCCATAGAGTGCCCTCCCGCAGGCACTTTGCCTCTTGGGCATTTCACTACGAGAGCTCAATCGTGGCTTTCCCCAACTTTTCCTTAGCGAAGTTCCTTTCCCTACACCCAACTTCAACGCTGTGCTGGGTGCTCCGGGCACGCAGATGCCTCGGCTGTCCCAGTACACACAGCACGGTCACATGGGGGCGTATGGCTGTGCTGCACCAGGTCCTCATCATCCCGCCGTCTGCCCCGCGGGCACAGACCACGCTCAGCAGCACGGCCACCTGCGGCACCCTGTGCCCCCGCCCCTCTCGATCCCTCGCACCAAGGAGCATCTCCCCTCCAGCCGCGGTTTCCATCCGAGTGCGTCACAACCCCGTGCTGCTCCCAGACCGCCGCGATGGCCGGCTCCGGTCCTGCCCGGCACGGCGGTGCGCGCCCAGCTCCAACCCTGCCACTTCTCCCCACCGAGCACCGCGGCACACCGGCCCGACTCCCCGAAGCCGACGCCAATTGACGGCGAGCGCGCTCCCAGCAGCCAGCAGCCCATTTTTCCCGACCGGAGCCCCTCCTTCTCCCCTGCTCTCGGCTCAGAACGGGACCGCAGCGCCGCAGCCCGCAACGCCCGGCACCGCGCCGCTTGGTCGGGCGGGAGGGCAGCCCCCAGCGGCTCTGCCCCCGATCCTCCCCGCACGACGTTTCCGACCCCGCCGCCGCGCAATGTCCCGCCGCAATGTCACGCAGCCCGGGGGCTGCGGGCACCGGGCACGGCCCCGCCGCAGCGCAGCGCCTGGAGAGCCGCGCCGCGCCGCTCCCGTCCACGCTCGTGCTGCCGCGGAGCCAGGCGCCGCGCAGCCCGCCCGGCGCTTACCGGCTTCTTCTTGCGGCGGCTCTGGAGCCGGCTGACGACCAGGTCGGTGTACAGCACCGGTTTCAGGGTGCGGGAGCGCTGGGGCCAGCCGTAGCAGAAGGTCTCCACGCCGCGATAGTTGCGCCCGTAGCGCACGGAGCACATGGAGCGGGACCGCATGCGGCCCGCGCTGCTGTTGATGCTGTTGACGCCGATCATGGTGCCGGTGCCGGTGCCGGCGGCGGCGGGGGCGGCCCGGCCCTGCCCTGCCCTGTCCTGTCCTGCCCTGTCCTGCCCTGCCCTGCCCTGCCCCGCCCGGCCCCCCGCACCCGCGGCCCGCTCCCCGCCGCCGCCGCCGCCGCCTGTTGAAGCCGGGCCGGGCCGGGCAGGGCTCGGCGGCTGCTGCCCGCGGGAGGCGGCTCCCCGCCCCGCCCCGCCCGCCGCAGCCAATGGCGGCCCCGCGGCGAGGAACGGGGAGCGGGGAGCGGGGCCCGGCCGAGCCCAGCCGAGCCCAGCCGGGCGCGGGGCTGTGCCGGGGGGCGGGCCCGCGTTGCACGGCTCAAAATGGAGGCGGCCGGCCCGGAGGGGCAGCAGCGGGGGTAGCGGATGCTATGAGTGGTTCTGCTGCTGGACGCCTCGGGATGCCGGCACGCTGCTCTCGGGGCGCGACGGTATGGAGCCGTGCGTCCGGACGCCCGCACAGGTACCACGGAGCTTACCGGGGTGTGAGGCGGGCGGGGAGATTGCCGCGGATCAGGCAGCTGGGCTGCGCTTGTTGGGGCGCACCGAGCTTGTCCCTGGTGACGCTGAGCTGGGGTGCTCCCGCCCGCTCCCTCCCATCCTCAGGTGCGCGTCCTACACTTAACCTCTCTGTCCGGTCCTCCGAGCGCAGTGAGAGCTGCCCTGCAGGCAAGGCGCTGCCGCTCCGTGCAGGACAGAAGGGCCGATCATCCTTGGAGCCGAGATGAGGATCGATGCGCAACCCGCCTAGGCGTGACTGAGGAGGAGATGCGGCCAGAGGAGAAGGGGAAATTTTCCACTGTCGTCACTGCACGGCACGGTGACTGCCGTGCCAAACCTGCAGGGCAGAGCAGGCTGCTCTGGGATGGGAGCAGGGCAGTGAATCCTCAGGTCGGTGGGCTGTAGAGTGCTACCGGGGGAGTCAGGCTGAGAAAGTCCAGCTGTGTTCTCAGTTCTGAGGTGGGAGCCAGCCCTGCTTCCCACATCTCCTCCTCATTCACCCAGCATGCAGACGATCTGAGCACTGTGCCCCTCAGCTGAGAGCAGGGCCCCTTCTGCCCTCTTCCCATGGGGCTGCCTGCATGCTGGGGTTTAATTCGTTAACAGCTGTGAAGTGCTCTGGGTTCCTAAGCTGGAAAGTAGCACAGATAGGGCTGACTGCTAAGCAGTGCTGGGGAGGAGGGGGCCTGAACTGCTTTTGTGTCTGAAGGTTCAGCAAAGCACAGAATTAAGCTGTGAAACAAAGATACAGAAGATCTAAGGCTCCCCAAACTGATCAGCTGTGTACAAGTCAAATCCACGCCTGAGATGCACAGCCAACAGCTGTGAATGAAGATCTGGGGACTGAGCTGAAATCACACCTACAAGAGGATGGCTGGGTCCCAGGGCTAAGCCGCTTGCTTAGGACACCAGTTTGCCTCTCTCCATGCTGGCTGGGCACCTGTGCTCCTTTGGCTGCTGCAGTCCAAGCCCAGCCTGCAGGCATAGGCATCCCCAAGCATGGCACTGTGAGCTCCCACATCCCCAGGTGGTGAGGACACCCAGGCAGGCTGGGCTCTGTCTGTGGAGCGTAGCTGCAGAGGTTGTCAGGGAGATGGTTTCCAGCAGCTGTGTTTGCCCAGCAGGACAGCGTCACTGCCTTAGCTCAGCAGCAGGGGCACAGTGAGGCATTCTGGTGAGGGGGATGTGGTGCACAGCTATGAAAGCACAAGCTTTAAGTGTTTTGGTTTCTTTTGCAGGAAACTCTTGAGTGTTTACACGCATTATCTTGTAGCAGATAAAGTTTGTGTCTGACTCAAGCTGCCACCTGCTCTCAGGCATCCTGCTGCCTTTCTCTTGGGACTTCTGCAGTCAAAGAGGGAGAAAATGTAGTACCCCATTGATGTCCCTTCCTGGTGCTGCCCATAGAGTCAGAGGGCCATTGCTGCTCAATGCTGCCCACCTGTCCCCAACCTTCTTCCAGCTGTGGGTGACAGTCATCCCTGCTCCCTGGTGTATTAGCGCCTGCCCTGGGCAGGCTTGGGAAGAGCCCCAAGATCTTTTTTCTGTGCTACTGGAGCTGCCCATGAGCTGCCCCTGGGCTCTGATAAGCCCCTCTGAAGCCTGCTAGTCCTTCCCTTCCCCTGCTGTGCTTAGAAAATGCATGTGCTCCTGCAGCACTAAAATTAGCTGGCCAGCTGTGCATGCAGAGAAGCTTCAGTTCCCAGGTGGGGGACCCAGGTTTGTAGAGGAGGCAACATCCTATGTAGGTTAATGGGACTAGTGCTGGCTACCGCAGGGAGAAAATACACTTTCCTCATTTCTCTGCTGCCCAACCTTGCAACAGGAATAAGGAGCCAAAGCCTACCGTGGGCAGAGAGAGCATATTCTCCCACTGAGCCTGGCAAAAGCTGCCCAGGAGTGGCCCGGCCCCTCTGCCTTTTATGTGCCAGATCCCTGCCCAGCATTTTGCATATTCCCGTTGCCCCAAGTCCCTGTGCATGGCCAGGGCTCCTGAGGGAGTGATGGAGAAGCTGCAGCCTGCCCCTGACGCACCACCTTGGAGGTGCCTTTTGCTCCCACTCCTCAGCATGGCACTGATACAGAGGCGTCTGAAAAGCGGCTGTGGGAAGCTCCGCAGCTGCAGAGGGAACAGTCCATTTTTAGCAGCTCAGCCTCCCTGCTGCAGGCAGAGATGTGCAGGGAGGTGCTCCCACATCATCAGGTGCAGCACCGCAGGCCCTGGCCCCACAGTGCTTGCCTGCACCAGGTGAAGAGCTTGACCCTACCTACCAACAGCACGTGCTTACTGCCCTATCTCACACAGGCTGAGATCTGATGAGATAATGCAATCGTGCCTGCTTGGGCACCTTTTGGGGTGGAAGCTGAGCTGCAGCACCTGCACTGAGGGTATCCAGCTGTAAGGTGCTGAGAGTTTCAGGAAGAGCCTGCAGAGGGACCTGTGGGGTTGAGATGCTCCTGAACAATGCAGCACTGGGGGAGGGCAGAGGTTCAGGGTCTTCATTTTGGACATTTCTCTTCTGGCAAATGCCTTTTCTGGAGCTGCATTTAAAATTAGGGAAGAATTTTTTCTAGCTCCTTTCACAGGAGAAGCGTGGGCCAGGAGGGAGGACAGCCCTATTGAGCACTGCTGGTAACCCCTTAATGATGGAGTGAGCAGCACAGCCAGGAATAGACCCACAAAGGCTGAAAACAGAGCTCGGCTCTTTACCCCATGTTGCCTCTTTCCATAAGGCACCTCCCACAGGAATGGCGCTGGCGCCCTGTGGGAACCCATTTCCCACAGCCCCAGCACTCTCCAACCACAGCGCCTTACAGATACCGATGATTTCTGCCCTGTGGGCCCCATGGGGATGATCCCTATTCCCAAACCACCTCAGCTGCTCCCTGCACCTGGTCCCCAGCACACCCAGATCCCATAGCCTGTGTCAACACCACTTCTTCTGCTCGTGCATCAGCTCAAGGTCAGGCTGTCCCTTCTGTGCTGCAGGACTGCAAGGCAGCCAGCAGCCAGCTCCTCCCCGCAAGCAGCAGTGGGGCTGTGCTGCTCCTGCGTTAGCCAGGGAGGTCCAGAAACAGCCACGAGAAAGAGGGACACCGGGGATGGAAAGCCATCTCCCATGACCAGAGCTGCTGCCTGGAGGCTGAGGCTCCCAGCAATCCTGTGAGGAAGAGGCCGGCCTCCTTCCTCTCTCAGGAGGGGCCAGCTTGGGCAGCTGGCACCAGCTCCCAGCGGTGGCCAAGCACAGTCACTCTTAGACGTGCTGCCCCTTCCCCTGACCTCAGCACCACAGGGAGAAAGCTGTGGGTCAAGGGAACACTACTAACCCTGCCTTTTCCAGCAGCTTGACAAGCATGAGGATGAACACCTTCAGTGCGTCCCATGGAGCCATCCATATGATCCCACCCAAATCTCTTGCCCTTATTCCTGTGGCCTGCTGGCTAGAGAGAGGACCAAATTTACCTTGAGCAGCTCCTTGGGGAAATCAGTGCCTCCATTGAGCCCTTCCAAGTTGCCAATGAAGTCAGAACAGGACATTCTTTTTCCGATGTTCTGGGGAAGTCAGGGAAGAAAAACATGAGGTTCATCTTGGGGCAAGGGAACAGCAGCTGGCTGGAACAGCCTGGGGCTTGGGGAGGCTGCGTGAAGGCATGGGAAGTTGCCTTCCATGCTCAGACTGGGGGCCTTAAGCGCCTTCTTTTCTCTAAACTGGGTGTGATTGCTCCCAGCACCAGCAAGGTTTGGGGTCTCGCTCCCACCCTCTCTCCCTGTTTGCTTTCCTCTTCCTTCCTCACCTCCCTCTGTACCTTCCAGCTCAGTGTATCTCCTTCAAAGCCCTGTTCTCTTCTCCACCATTTCCCTCTCTCATTCAGTCTTTCTCCTCCCTCATCCCCAGACATGCTGGGGCTGTTCAGCCCCACAGGTCTCACATCTTCAGCACACGCAGCTCTGTCTGGGGCACCTGCAGGTGGGGCAGAAAGGGCAGGGGACACACGGGGCAGGAGGCAGGGTGAACTTACGTGTCCATGCAGATCTGTGTTCAGCAACATCAGGGCACAGGTCAGGGTGTGGGCTCCGTCTGCAGCACAAGCACAGGGCAGGAATTAGAGCCCCTGGGCACAGATGGAAGTTCTGAGCCCAAGGCAGTCCTAAGCCCTCTCCTCCCAGCTAAGCAAGTGGCACATAGCATCAACACGGTGCTAGCAGCACCCAGGTGAGGAGAGAGGAGGCCGCTGGATTAAAGCCGGTGCCCAGATTGAGCGTGCAGCCCTGCAGCCCCTCAGCCAGGCAGTGATGCTGCAGCTAACTGTCCAGCCCCTAGCATGGGCACAGTGGAGCAACACAGCCTTCTTCCAGCCAGCCAGCCAAAACCTCACCTGCCCAGAGCCAAAACAGAGCAGACTCAGCACATGAACACACACAGGGGGAGCACAAAGACGTATAACACTGAAGTGAAACAGTGCAGGCTGGGTGCTCCTCCGTGCTGCCCTGGGTGCTGGGCAGCAGCACTTTCTCACCTGGCTCTTCCCTGAGCCGTGGGTCTGAGCTGGGCTCTGTGTGCTCAGGAGGGCCTTCTCTCGCCTCGTGTGCTAATCTGCTCAAGGTCAGAATTAAGGATGTGTTGAGCCCTAGTTATGCATCTTCCAACTGGAGCAGGTTTGTTATTTTTTTTTTTTATTAAAAAGAAGTCTAAAATGTCTGTCATTTGAGGGAAATGTGTAACAGGGCTGACTCCTAAGGCATCAGTTCACTCTCTCAGACTGCATTCTACTTTCATTTTGAGCACTCCCATTGAGCTGATGAGAACATGTGCTCTCTTGAACGAACACGCGTACTCCCACATGCACACTCACATGCACACAGAGCTTCTTACCCTCAGAGGAGATGGCATTGGGATTGCACTCATAATAGCGCTGGGAAAAATGAGCCAGCACTCGCTCTCGCTCCTGTGTCTCTCCCATCAGGGCCAGCTCCTTTAGGAAGGACCTGAAGAAGCAGCAGCAGCAGCGTTGGTTGCACACGAAGCCCAGTAGCAGTCTCTCTGACCCCCCTGTGCAGCGGCAGAGCTGTGGCTGTCCCCACCCACAGCCCCCACACAAGGCCCTGCATCCAACCCACAGCATCCAGCCCTGATGGCACATTGGGTTCTGGAAATTACATCAGGGGAGGAGGTTAGGTCAGCATGAGTTGGATTTGGACTCAAGGCCCGGAAACCCAGCCTTAGGTGAGCCTGACTGAGGACCTAAGACCAGGGATCATCCTTTGTGCTTATGTGGCTGAGAGACTGCTTTGGGACCCGAGTCTGTGTGGTCTGCCTGCTCCTGCAGATCTCTGTGGGGGTGAGCAGCTGCAGAGGGCATGATCTGCTGGGACTCATTCAGGTGGCCATGACGCATGCACATGGCTGCACTCAGACTGTCTGACCTGAGGGCCTGGTCCAGGCTCATCCCTGTGAACACGAAGAACTTCAGATATTCCCCTGCCACCATCTTGCTGAATTCGTTGCTGAAAGAAAAAGGGGGGAGTGAGAGTGGAATCGACCAGGCTGGGAGGACATCAAAATGCAGACAGGGACAGAATGGATTCTGGTGGGCTGGATACCTCCCAGGAGACATAACGGCAGGGCTATGGGAAGCATGCTGGAGACAGAGGCACCCTAGCATCCAATGAAACTCAGAGGGGTCACCCACAGATCCAGTGGGAATATTCAGTATGTCAGCTAGCTGGTTCCCTGTTCTCTGCTGAACACCTTGCTGAAAATGCCTGAGATGCAGTGCGAGTAGGAAGGTACCAAAACCTGGATGTTGCCTTTAGAGGAACACCTGGCATAGAAAAACTGTCACAGGGACAGGTCTTTGGGGTCCTGCCAGTGGTTCCTTGACAGCCCAGTGCCCTCAAGGGAAGCAGCTGTGGGTATGCTGGAGTTGTTGCAGGGAGAAATGATGCCGAATGGGCCATTCCTTGTGAATACCCACACGTACTTCTTCCCCAAGTGGCGGGCCACATCTGCTTTTTTAAAGCCATCCAGGTTGTAGAGCCGCTTGGCCAGACGTTTGGCAGCCTCCAGATCAGCCTTGTGCCCATTGGAGAGCGTGTCGGTGCTGCCCAGCGCCAGCTGCTCTATGCTGTCCATCTCTGAGTCCGAGTCAGAAACCAGCTGGCTCAGGGGGTGCTCGCTGCAACGGGAAGGGACACACCACGTTAGTTTGCCCACAGGTCCCCTGCTTGCTCAGCCTCTCAGGGGATGCAGGTCTGCGCCCTGCTCTGGGGGCCAGCAGCTCTGCTGGGCCGTACTGGTTAGAGGTGCTCAGGGGTCAGGGCTAAGTGCTAAGGGAAGGCTTGGAGATGTGGCTGGAAGAGAGGTAGGTGGCGAGACCAAGGCCCTCAAAGCCATGTCCAAACCGGCCATGGTCAGACAGGACAGCTGTCTGAGCTGCGAGACTTCGTGTGCGGGCTCAGGCTCTGCCAAGGCCAGCTGCAGCAAGACGTGGAGCGGAAATGTGCGCACACTGTACTCTGTATTGGTACGCCTTTTTTAACCCAGGCAAGCTCCTTGTGCTGCTCTCGGGTGCAGTTTCTGCCCCAAACAAGAAGACCATAATTCCTGCACTTGGCTTTTCCCATCCACAAACCTCAAAGCGCTTCACAGAGGGAAGAAGCGAGGCGCAGAGAGCAAAGATGAAGGAGAACCCCCAGCCTCCGGCACAGCATGGTGTGCTGGGGCTGCTCCTCAGCTCTCAGCCCCGCTGCCTTACATGGCCATGCTGGGAGCGCGCTCTTGGCTGCCTCTAGCACTCTGACTCAGCGGCACACAAATTATCCCAACAAAAAGTAAGCTGAATCTAATCAACAACGAACGTTAAGCAATTCTGACCTCGCCCAAATTTTCTGGCAGACCTCACACTGTTCCAGTCTGATTTATTTTTAAGTCTCTAATTGATTTTTAAGAAGGCCTCCTCTCCTGAGCCAATTACCCAGGCCGATCTCCAGAGGCTCCACTCCTCCCACTAAGGACAAAGCTGTTCCTCACTGCCTTTGGGCTGCAGCTCATGCTGTCCCACAGGAGCCCCGTGCAGCTGCCCCACGCCTCAGGGAGCTCTTGGCATCCTAGGGGGATGGGGAAGTGTCTGGGCACAAACCCGTGGCTGGATGTGTCTGCGGCCATCACAGTGCTGGCACTGTGAGTCTCAGGGGAGATGCACAGAACTTGGGCCATTGTGGGGCCTGGTAGCTCCAGGCAGTGGAACAGCTCTGAAACAGAGCTGCTGTGCCCTTAGCCAGGACAGCGCTACCTCTTTTCAGGAGCAAGAAATAAATCCAGTTGCATCTGCAGGTCACGGCTGAGAAAACTCGGTCTGCAATCATGGGAGCACAGCGCTGTCCCAGCCCATCCCAGCAGCTCCAAGGTTGCCTTTCTGGCCACAGACTACAGGTTATAAAACCCAAGCGTTCCTTCATCACTGCCTGCAAAGCAAGCAGCTGCCCAGCCACCTTCTGAAGACCTTTTCATTCTTCTCAACCAACATCACTGAAATCTCCCCATATCCTTCTGGGCCTTGAGGCCCTCACTGAAGGGCTGTTCTCCCTGCCACAGCTGCTGCATGGTACCTCCTGCAGTGAACCCAGCACTCAGAGACTCTACAACCTCCTTCCAAGCTGCACTCAGCTTTCCCATCTAGTGCTAAGCTCCAGCTGTGGGGTCACCTACAAAACCTCCTTGACCTTCCACATCTGAATATCACAGCAGGTTCTCAACCCATGGCTGTGGCCCTTTCCTGGCTTCTTAAAACTAGCATGCAGGGATTGCAGTCTGCTTCCTAAAATTGCTCTACCTGCAGGATCTGCCATCCCTTCCCTCACCGAGCCCCACTTCTGATTTTGGTCTTTATATCAGCAGTACATGACCTTACTGTCAGGACAAGGCAGCTTATGAACAATGCCAAGCTCCCAGCCACGCCATAAGGTGGGCTTTCTCCCAGTGCTCAAGCACTATCATGATGCTACATGAGGGGCATCCTCCCTGTAGCAACAGTGCGGGCAGTTTGGCTGTGCCCCACTGATGGCAGCCTTCTACCCCAATTGGTTGGAGAATGCCCATCCTGCAAGGAGAAAAGCAGGAACCCAACCCTCAAGCAAACGGCAAGCAGAGCAAAGAGCATACATCCATGTCTGAGGCAACTGAGGTGACGCTAATTTTCTTGCCAATGACCTAATGTCTCGGGGGATTTTTTTAGTGTACTTTCTAAGTGACATCTCAGTTTGGCTTGAAGAAACACGGAGATAATAATTTTACTTTAGATGTATTTCCAACTCGAGAACCGGTCTGCACTTAAGGAATAATGATCAAATTTGGTATTGTATGAGCATCTCCAGCGTGCCTGGCATGAGTCACCATGGAGCGGGCCCAGGGGAAGCGCAGCCCTGCCAGCACAACACAGCCACCGGCACCCACAGTGCCCACAGCACAGCCCTGTTCCTAATGGGCGCCCACCTGGTGGGCAGCAAGGGCCCCACAGCTGCTGCCAGGGGCTCAGGGCAGGGTCCAGCAGCAATAAAGTGCTTCAGGAACAGTTCTGCAATGAAAGAACTGAAGATAGCCCATATGTAGGGCCCACATGCCTCTCTTCTTGGTCCCAAGTACTCCTTAAGAAAACTATTTCTCTTCTGACCCCCAAATATTCCAACTCCAGAGCCTTATTACTCTTTTACCAGTCACAAATACATCTCTGGGCCCAAATTCTCCTTCATCCATGCACCAGCCACGCTTCTCTGAGCCCACACGCTCCTGCCCAGGGCCCTACTCCTTCCCTGCTTCTCCGAGCCCCATACTTCCTTCTCAAGGCCAAACACACATCTCCTGGACCCAAACACTCACTGTCTCACCTCGATATCCCTTCTCTGGCTGAGAGCTTAGAGCACTGCAGGAAGAACTGGAGCACCTTCCTGCACTGCAATGCAGCGTGTTGCTGCAGGACTCCGATTTCCACCTTGCCACAAGGAGCTTGCCCAGCACCATGGAGCAGCAACAAGCTGTCAGCTCAGCAGAGCCTGCCTTAAGGGTGCCTTCACTGACAGGGGGATGTATGTGTGCAGGGGAACACTCACCAGCACCCTGCTCCTCAAGACTACTCAGCCAGATGCCCATTGGATCCAGCCAGGGGCATTCTGTTGAGCCTCCATGTTACCCAGGTCCCGTTGCCACGTGAGACACCTGCTGCAAGCAATTCAGAAATGCCTGCCACAAACCACTTTTCCCCAAAAAGGGCCACGGGAGACCTGGATTAATTGCTGCAGCATGGATGGAGCAGGGACTTGTGAGGTGCACAGGGCAGCCCTGCACTGCCTCGGTTCCGGTGCCCCACACGTGTGGCTCTGTGCCCGGTGCCTCCGCCCAGTACACCCAGCCTGCCCAATATCTCTACTAAGAATGTACCAGCTCGGATCTTCTGCTGAGCTAAATACATGCAGCTCCCTCCACTGCTCTCAGTGGAGTGACTTTGATTTATGACAGCTGAGATCTGGGCTGGTTCATTTCTTGCAAAATTGAAGTTGGGCTGGGAGGACACTTGAAGGTCAGCCAGGCCAGCCTCCAAGCGTGGGCAGAACTGGTGCTGCTGTCCTCGTCCAGCAGCAGTGCCCAGCCGGCTCCCAGATCGCCCAGCAGCCCCGCCAACGTCACCGCGCCCACAGACAGGTAGGACCCAACCTGGGGCACCGCGCTCCTCCTCGGCGCCGTCTCACACAGCTGTTCTGCCACCCCGCAGCACGGCCCTCCTCCCGGCTGCCGCCGGTCCTCGCCCAGCCCCGTGCCACCGCTGCTCGCGGGGACCGGGATGGCCTCAGCGGGGGCCGTCCTCTGTCGGACCAATTTCAGGAGGCGGCGGCTCGCAGGGCCGTAGATCCCGTTACTCACCAGGCGGGCGGAGGGGCGGCTTGTCTTTCAGACACGCGGATGCCATGGTGCTACCCGGGGAAGCCCGCGCCTCCGGGACCTCTGGGCGAAGTCCGGCCAGCGGGGCGTGAGCTAGCGCGCCCCGCGGGGCCGCGTCGGAGGCGGTCACAGCCCGAAGCGGGGGGGCGCGTTCCGCGGAGACCCCCCCCGCCGCCCCCGCCCCACCGCTGCCGGGCCCCTTCCCCGCGGGCGCGGCCGCCCGTGCCCCGCCGCAGCCCCTCCGCGCTCCCCCGCCCGCCCCGCCCCGCCCGCAGCGCCGCCCCCGGGGCCGCGGGGACCCCGCGCGCCGCCGCTCCCCACTGCGCTCCGCTCTTCCGCATCCCGGCCGCGGCCCCTTCCATCGCCGGCCGTGCCGTGCCGTGCCGCACCGCCGCACCGCCCGCCCCATCGCCGCCCGCCTCACCGCAGCCGCCAGCGGCCGCGCTGTCCCCGCGGTCCCCGCGCACGCCCCCGCCCCCGCCGGGCCTCGCAGGGCCGCGCAGGTGGCACCTGGCCCCGTTGCCGCCGCGGGATTCTGAGCCGCACCGCCGCTCTCGTGCACGTGTGTGGCATGTGCGGGCCGGGCAGCTCGCCTCGCGTCCCCGGGCCTCCGGCACCGCCGTCCACGCTGGGCCCCGCGCTGCTCCGTGGCCGCCCGGACACAGCAGAGCGTGACACTGGAGAGCGATATGGGTAAGAAACCCCACACACCTTAACGCCACCCTTCCCGCGCTGCAACGCTGCAGGCTGTGCCTGGAGAGAATTACTTCTCCGTTCGTGCCCAGTCTCCCGTGCTCTCACCCCTTGCTTCTCCCTGTTTCCATTCTCAATGGCTAGCCCTCTCCCCATGCCTTCCCACATCACACACACAGCAGCCCCATCACCCTGTGGCTCTCAGGGCACGCACTGCCACTTTGCCCAGTGCCAGCCGGGTTCCCCATGCTCAGCCCACTGGTGAACAGCCACCAGCCCTGGTCCAGCGATGAGGAGCAATTACCAGCCCCCCCTCAATAACAAATGTCCCTGGGGGTGCACAGCCATGGCTGGCTCAGGAGTCCCAGCTGGGACCTGAGGAGCCAAGGGAAGCTGAGCGCATGGATTTTAGGGCACTCATACCCCGAGGGTGCACCATTTGCCTGTCTCTCTCTGGCACTGATGCACTTCAATATGCAGTGCCTGCTCCGGGGCTGCCCTGGGATTTGGATCTGTAATTGCAAAATGACAGCCCAAGAGCAGCCCAGTTCCTACCTCACTCTTTCGCCAGAACCACCAGCCCCAGAGGCACCCAATGTCCCCAGTGTGGCACAGCATCCTGCTCCTGCTTCTGACCCTGCTCTGGGCCACTGTCACCTCTGTGGGGACAAAAGCCTCCCATACAGTGACAGTGGCGACCCTGCAGCATGGCCCAGAATGAGGGCCACTGGGAACCCTGCTCTGTGCTCGAGGTGCTGCTGCAGGATGTCCTCTGTGGGGCAGCCCAGCAGCAGACCATCTCCCATTGCTAATGCAATCTACCAGGGCAGAGGGCTCCTAGAGTTGCAGCATGGGAAGTGTACCAGGGACATGCAGTGGTCCCAGGGTTGGTCTCCCAGCTCAGGGCCACAGCTTGTGCTGCTGCTGCTTCCCTTCACACACAGACACTGGGTCAGGCTGAAGGGACCCAGTGCCTGGGGAGTGCTCACCACGTTGGCAGCTTGGCATGCTTCTTGCCTGCAAGCTCAAGATTGAAGTGTGGTCCCAGAACGTTGTGTGCTGAGGGATATAGGAGCCTTGGTCTGGGCTATGAAGATGCAAGAGCTGAGGCTGCCTGGCCTCACAAGGAGCTGCACACCACCACTGCCACAACGGGAGCTGGGAGTCACAGCCCGCAGAGCCCATTCCCAGCACAGACCCCAGCCTGGCACCAGGTACCCCCACAACTCCTTCCATGCTCCTGTAATGCTGCTGCTGCAGCAGGAGGCATCCTGTGAGCAGTGAGTTACACACTGTCCTTTGGTTTCTCTGGAGCCATCTTGGTCCTATGCCTTGACAGAGGAACAGGAAGCTGAGTCTGTCTCCAGCAAGCAACCATCCATGGCTAGAAACTGCCACCCTCGGCTGCTTGGTGCCACTCGGGCACCACCCGTTTTATGCACAAACCTTGCCTGGCCTCTGTGCCACTGTGCCCCTGTCCTCAGTGTCCCAAAAAAGAAGAAGCCCAGCCCAGAGATCAGCTCTTCTCCCCCAGAATGTCCCCAGGATGATCCTAATACTACACAGCAGATGCAATGTCCCACCCTCCTCTCTTGACTACAGGTGCCAGAGGTGACACAAAGCACAGATCGCCACATGCTCACCCCAAGCTAAGCCTATCAGGATAATACAGGCTGCAGCCAGAAGTACCACAGGTTGGTTGGACAACCAAGAGAAAGCCAAGCTGTTCTTTCCTTCCAACACTTTCCAGGACCCACTGGGGAAGCCTGGAAGGGTTCAGGACCCTCTGGCATTGCACAAGATGTCATTGGGCAAGAGGAGATCTTGTGGGAAAACAGTGCAAGCGGGAAGCTCAGCACTGCTGTGGCCAACACGCCAAATTCCCCAAAAGCCATCAGGTCCACGTTGGGCCACAAGGACGGATGTGGCATTCTGGACTAGACCTGATCATGCTCCAGGTGAACACACCCCAGAAAAGGGAAAAGCTGCTGCCTGCCAACTGGCTGAACCCTAAGTGCCTCAGCCCAAGACCTTGCTGGGAGAGGGAAGAGTACAAGAAAGGCAGTGTGTCAGCCTGGACATGGTCTCACATATATCTAGATTGGAAGAGGTCAGGCTGAGCATCCTGGACCACTTCCCTGCTCCCCAGCAGCACTGGTTAGGCTGTGGCTACAAAACATGCAGCACAGGATTAGAGTTGATGCTGAACCATGGTGGTCCAGGTGGGCAGTAAGCAATTTTGGTCACTCACCTCATGTTGGAGGCCAAGGGAGTACCAAAGCTGTCCTCTGAGCAGCAAGGGCTGTGCCGAGCACCCTTCCTTCGCCTCCCCCTCTCCTCCTCCCTCTCAGTCCAGGGGGCATCGGTGGCTGAACTGGTCCCAGAGTCCGGCTCCAAGTGAGCCAGAGGAGCAAAGTTCTCCTCGATCAGCTTCACACTGTCTCGGATCTGTCCCTGTACTTCTGGGGTGAGGGTTGGGAGATCAAAAGTGAAAACGGTCCCATGAGTGTGGGCTGGGGAGGAGAGGATGTCAATGGAGTCCAGGCTGGTGTAAGATGTGCCTTTGGCTCGATGGGACTCCATGATGCTCTCAAAATGCTTGCTGAAAGAGTCCATGCCATCCTTGGAGAGGCTGTGCCCTAGCAGGAAGGGCACTGGAGACTTGAGCATACCCTGTGTGTCTCGATCCATGATCCTAGAGGGAAAGAAAGCAAGAGGAACTGGTCACTGAGGAGCAAGAGGTCGAAGCCCCAAACAAAAGCCTGTGCACTGCTCCAGAAGGAAAGCAGGGAGGGCAGAAGTCTCCTCTGAATATCTGAGTACACCAGGCCTCTAAAAGAAACGCCTTGCCTATCCAGGACATCATGGAAAGAGGGTCGTGCTGGCCTCCTTCCAGCCATATGCCTCTCTTTTAATGCGCCATGGACTTTTGTTCCCTTAGTGGCTCATCCTCCTAAGAAGCTTATGAGATGGCTACTGCTCCCAGCCACTTGGCTTGAGTTTAGATCCAATAAACAGCTCAGGCACCAAAAACTGGATGTAGTTCAGCTCCACTGCCAAACAAATCCACAAGTGCCTGAATTTTCCATGAGCCTTCAGAGTTCCTGGCACCCACAGCTCTCCTGGAGCCACCGAGGACAGCCTGACACCTTCTGCATATGTGACACCATGGTCACTGAGCCGAGCCCACCTGCAAGGTCAGCATAAGCAGCAGCTCCCCACGCTTGTTTTGAAGGAGGAGGAAAGAGCAGGATGGCCTGATGGTAGTGAGAGCACCTGTAAGGGACTGAGCTGCCTTCAGACTGGTTCACCTCCTCCCTGCCGAAGCACTGTGCTCTCTGAGCTCTGGCAAACCTCTGGGCACAGATCACCCTGCAGGAGGCTCAGCTGGTCTGCGGCACGGCTCTGTGTCCAGCCCAACACGGGACATCCTGCATCTCAAACCTCTGAGCATTTCATCCTGGAGATGAGCCTGCCCATCAGTCTGAGCATGTGACACAGGGATATTTCCAATACAGTGTCAACCCTTCAGTCCTATAAGCACAAACGCAACCCTAAAAGCCTGTTTCACTCACAAGCTGCTATCACTTTATTAGAGCACTAAAAATGCACTTGTTATGCCACTCTCTTTCCTGATTAAAAGCGAAGAGCTGATCCAGCTTGTCATAACATTTGTTATGAACAAACAGCTTCATGCAGAAGGCTCAGAAAATGTAGTGCTGTTACAAGCACTGAGTGATTTATCATTTATTAGCCTGCTCTGAAATCTCACGGATTATTGCAGCAGGCTCCAAGCTGGCAGCCTCACAGCACCAGAACTTGGAGGGCTTCAGGGGGCACCCAGCGAGATGGGTAAGTAGGGGGCACACATCCCAGAGACCAATAACCGTGCTGCGTTACATGCTGACAACTCAGCCAGCACTTCTGGTTACCACATGGGGCTGAACAACCGGACATCGGCAGAGGGGAAGGAGCTCCTGTGTCCCCCAGCACATCGGCGTCCGCATGCCGGTGTCCCATCTAGGAAGGCTGCCCTGGCGGCAGACCCGAGGGCTGTGCTGGGCAGCGCTCTGTTCCCAGGGAGGACAGGCGCTCCTGCCTGCAGCCAGCCCTCGCACACCGGGCAGCGGGGCACGGTGCTGCACAGCCGGCTCTGGCTCACTCAGCGGCGCTGCCTCTGGCTTAGCGCTCCCCCGGGGGCACTCGAGAAGGGGGAGAGGAGCCCGCTCTCGCTGGCAGGTCTCGGTGCTCTGGGACTAATGGGAATAAAGACAGCAAAGGCTTAGACTGGTCATTAGCCGTAGAGCCGGCTCTAAATATATTTCAGGGAGTGGATTCTGGAAGAAGACGCTGTTTCTTATGTCACTTTCCACATCTTGTTTGATTTTGTATCGGATTTTTCATCCTGATGTTCTGCTGCGCGTTCTCTTATTTTAGGAGAAGAGATGACAAGGAAGGTGCCCTTTGGCAAGAATATAAAGGGCAACAAAGTAGTGCCGAGCCAGTCTCCTCGTGCAGAGGGTGCTAAATCCCTAAGGCTAGATTTTCAATGGGATTTACATGTCTAAATGCTGCAGATCAGCATCCGATGGTGTCTCAATAATTTTGCATAGCTGCTCCTTCCCATCTACCAAGGAAGTGCTCTGCAGCGAAGGACTGGCTGGGATGGAAGCCTCTGGTTTGTAACAGCTCCTGCGGAGCAAAGCAGCGCCAGCTCTTGGAAGCTGGGGCAGCTTTTAATGACCCCAGCATCACCGCATCGCCCCTCCTGTGAGCAGACAAAGCAGAAAGCTTGAAGCAGAAAACATCAATACTGGTGACTGGTAAACGGGAGGCAGGACTGCAGCTGCAGAGCTCGCTCTGAAGCAGTGTGTAAGCAAAGCCCAGGCTGTGATGCAGGCACTGAACCAACTCGCTATTTCAGTCTGTTGATTTTTGGCACTGCTGTCAGCAGGGTCTGTGCCTCGTTGGGAATAGCCAGGGCTCTGTCTGCACATCAAAAAAACCTGAAAGCCAGCGGTCAACAAGGAAGCTGTGTAAAATGAGCAGGACACCACCATATGCATCCTGGTAATTATGCCAGGAGCACCATGTTGAGGGCAGCAATGCTGTGAGGTACACACCCGAGCTTTCTGGCCGTGCTTGGGGAGCTCCAGCACAGTGTCCCGAAGGGCAGAAGGTAGGTGCAGGTTTACAGCCCATGGATGTGTAATGGACCCCCAGGTGTTTGGAAATGAATTATCACCAAGTAAAAGAATTGTTGTAGTAACTTGAATAACTTGCTTGGAGTGATAATATGACTTACAAAGCTTGCTCACATTCTCTATCATAATTCATTTGGGAAAAAAATGTATTTCCCTCTTGGCGAAGCCGCAGGATCCCAGCTCCCTGTGCAACATGCACCTTCCCATCCATGGCAGCCCTCCTCAGGGCTTCTCCCTCCACTGCAGGGTACCACTGCAGGTTATTTCATCCTCTCTTACCACTCCCAACACCAACCCCCCTTCTCCTTTTTTGAGCACACTACCAGGCACCTCTCTGTCCCAGCACAGAGGAATCACCCAACTCTGTTCCCCAGCAGCACCTTTCCCTTCACTGCAGAGCATTTGCAGATGGAGCAGAGGCTGTTGTCCCACCCGAGGCCCATCACTACTTTAGTACAGACTATTTTGCCACACAAGCAAGAAACAACACAAAACATAAGTGTGAATGGACTCCAACTCAGTGATCCATGGCATTGTCCCGGGTGCCAGGCTCATATGGCTATCAGATCACAGGACTTGTCTCCAGCAGAATGGGTCCTGTGGTGCAGTGCTCTGCACTGGACACCAGCACCACCCTGCTCCTTCCACAGGGCAGTGAGAGACCCCCAGCCCTGCAGGACAATGAATAACCGCTGCAACAACTGCACATGGCTCAGACACAGCTACTATGGTTCTGGCTTGGGCTCTAGTTTGGCAGAGCCCCTTTGTCACACATTTGGGATACCGAGGAGGGTGAGGGGAGCTCTCTGCCCTCCCACGCTGAGCCTCACCTTTCCCTGCTCTCCTTCATCGTGGCCTCAAACACCTCGTCGTCCTCATCTGCGTCGTCTCTGTCGTGCATTCCATCCTTTGTGCTCGGGTTACCGTGCTCAGGGTTCCCCTCAGGCATGCTGTCCCTCCTGCCTGGAGTCCCTGCAAAGCTGGGGTTGCTCTCGCTGTCCTTCTGGCTTTCAATAGCAGAATCCACCTCATCCCTCTCAGCCAGGATGTCGTCAATGTTGGTTTCGCGGTAGCAGCGGAGCGGCACGGTGTCCAGATCTGTCTCGGAGTACTTCACAGCCCTCCTAATGATGCCCGTCTCACAGGAGCCCTGCTCCTTGCTGCCTGCTGGGGACACCTCGATCTCCACCTCCACATGGCTCAGGCCATGCTTGGGAAGCGAGCCGGGTGGCTCTGCAGGCAGTGGGTGGCTGGGCTGCAGTGGAGGCTCAGTGTTGGAGGCTGAGGAGCCTGGAATAAAGCCCAGAGCCCCCGTTCAATCCCAAATCCCAGTGGGTTGGAGCTCTGCATACCCACAGTGTCACTGCCTGACACCTTACCTGTTTTCGGGGCACCCAGCGAGCCATAGAAAAACTCCCACTTGGCACGGGCGATGCGCTGGGCATGAGCTGAGCTCTGCCGGGGGCACGGCCAGGCGCTGCCCTGCAGGGACACAGTGGTCAGTGGGGCCGGGCTGGACACAGCGTAGTGTGGGGCCACGGGCACCTACCTGGGGCCGGGGGCTGGTGGGGACGTCCTGTGGCGGGGCCTTCAGCCCATTGGTGAGGGAGCCAAAGAGGCAGCCGGTGGTGAGAGAATGGGGATCCCTTCTGCCTTCGTGGGGACGTGTCTCCCCTGGGGACCTGCAGCCAGCCAGGAGCGGGTCAGACGCAGAGGCCTCCAGCTTCAGTCTGCGGAGCAGCTGTTCCTGGGGCTGGGGCTGCCCAGGTGGCACACGCCAGCCCCCAGCGGGCTCTGCCGGGCCGTTCTCCTGCGGCCCGCTGAGGGGCCGCACGCTGGCCTTCTCGATGAAGCGGAAGGTGACAACGGAGCTGCGTCCCTCTGGGGCCACCAGTGGGCTGCGGCTGCCGGGCGACGTGAGACTCGGGGCGGGATGGCCCCTCCGAGGGGTGCAGGGGGCTGTCAGCCGCCCCCCACCTGGGCAGCCCCCGTTGCCAAAAGACCCCATCTCTGTTGGCTTGCGAGCCAAGGAGCCGGTGCTGTTGTAGAGGCCAGGGGGGCAGCGGCGGGTCTCGGGGGCCAGGCCTTTGCGCAGGAGGTGCAGGCGACCAGCATTGAGGTTGGGGGTGAGGCAGCGTGGGGGGCTGTGCCGGCCTGGTTCAGGGCTGGAGGAGATAGGTGGCCAGGGCCTGCGGTCCCCATGGTGGGAGAAAGGTGTGGGTGAGGCGGTGCAGCCCTCGGCTGGGGGCAGGCGTACAAGGCTCCCCGCCTGCGCCATGCTGACGGGGTGAGCACAGGTGTCAGGGCTGGAGCTGGACAGGGTGAGGCATCCTCAGGCAGCCCTGGAGGGCAAGGAGAGGCTATTAGAGAAGGGGAGCAAAAATGGGGGAATGCAGATACCATGACGTTGCTTAAAAGTGGATGTAGGTTGGAGATTGGCCTGAGCCTGGGGACAGGTGGCCTGAGTGCTGCTGTCCCTGGCTCCCCTTGCTCGTCCAGCACTGTTCCACAGACCAGCAGCATACAGATGCAGTGGGAGCACATGCTGTATACACTGAAATAAGTTTCATTTAGCCTGATTTAGGCTGAATATTTTACTACCTGTAACCACCTAATATCACCCTACATCATAAGGGGAAAAAAATGATATATGGGATCACTGAGATATCCCCAGACTGAAGGAATTTGATACCAGCAGACCAAGGATGAAGCCTGTCTCTTTGGAGGTCAGGTTGTGTTTTAAAGTGTGTCACCCATCACATGCCGCAGCCACAATCTGTGGCACAGACAGAGCTGTCAGCACCGGTGGATCCAAACAGAGGCAGCTGAGACAGCCCTGCCTGGGGGCCGAGCATGCCTGAGCCAGCAGCACAGCTCGGGACACCCCGTCAGGACACCCATCACCCCAGGGCAATGAGACACAGCGCAGGATGGGAGGACATGGCGCCTGGCGGCCCTGCGGGCAGCACTGCCAGCTCTACTCTCTCAGCACATCTCACTCATGGACTCTTCTCCTGAGTCCTCTGAGCTGCCGGTTTGCAGGAAGGGCTTTTTGTTCCCCATGAGTTGCAGAGATACCAATTCCTGCGCTTAGATCTCAGCACTTGAAAGCAAAAACCCAAATATCAGCGGGGGAAAGTGTGTTTTCTTCTCCCAGCTGCCGAGAGCAAACCAGACAGGGTTAAACTGAAGGCCGCAGGACTGGATTTTCAACAGTGTTTAGGCTGAGGAGATGCAGAGACATAACTCTTAATAAAATAGCCAAAATCACCCACATGGGGCAGACGTCTCTATCTGCACTACTACACTTGCAGCACACGTGGCTCCTACCGAGCAGCAATCCATAACCCACTGCCTGACGAAAATACTCTCCCGTTTAAGATGTCAGTTACTGTTTTTATAATTCTTTCTCCTGTTATGGTTGTATTCCCGTTCAAGGTTGCTTAACTGATAAATAACACAAATGTTGGGTTATGTATTTCAAGCTAAACCCCACTTTTATCTAAATACAAACTGACACACATGCCAAGGAGAAAAGTTATCACTAGAAAGTAGTTGGCATGCACTGTAACATAAGGAATCTATAAAAAACAGCCCATCGCAATGCAGGCGATTTACTGCTAAAATAAACGGGATGAGCACAGCATGTCCTCCTCCTTATCGAAGGGGAATTATCAAATGCAGAGCAGAGGTCATGCCCGCCTGCAAGCCTCTGGAGCAGGGCTGCCCTCCCAGCCAGCAGAGCAAGCCTTTCTTCAGTGATGAAAGGTAAAAAGCACAAATGCAACACAGATGAAAAAATCAGTGGCGTAGTGAGGCTTCCTGCTCGCCGATTTGAATTATGAATCAAAGCGATGCTCTTTACACCGCTGTGATGAATGGTTGTGCTGATGGCACCTGAGGGAGGCTGCCGCGAGGCAGGAGCTCCCATGCCCAGGGAAGCCACGGGCAGCACAGGACACATGTCACAGGGGACAACTCAGGAGTAGCAGCGTGGCAGGCAGGGGCTGCATATCTATCGGGAATTTCATTTGTTCGACATAACATCTCGCCCCTCCAAGGCACCCTCTACTGCTGGCTGTCCCCTCCGAGCACCAAGGCGGTGCCGGGGATTCCCCCTGGCTTCGGGGCTGTTTCTGAGGGACCCGGCCGTGAGCTGCTCGCCGTGCCAGCGCTTGCCCGGCTCAGCGGGGCAACGCGGGTGAAGCAGCAGACGCCCGGCGCTGCTTGCGCTGCAGGGGAAGCGCACACCCACGCGAGGTGTGTGTAGGGCCAACGCGCGCACGCTGCGGGAAGATGCCGGGGAAGAGGCGAGAAACGGAACAGAGAGGGAAGGTGCTGAACTCAGGACGGGTTGTGCTGCCGTGCCGGGCATGGGTCCCCTGCCACCAGCGGCAACTGCGCACGGGGACAGCCGGGCTGGGGGGGCTGCGGTCCGGCGGGGACGGCCTCGAGGAGCCTCCGCACTCGAAGGGCACAGAGTAATGTGGGGACAGCGGCCGCCCAGGAGGAGAGCCCGCAGTCTCTGTGGCCGGGGCACAAACAGGTGGCGGCAGCGAAGCACCCCTTGCAGAGGGATCGCCGAGGCGAGGACGTGCCCCCCCGGGCTGGGGAAGGACCCGCGCCCCCTCCCTTTTCCCTTGCCCGGCCCGTCTCGCCCCGCGCCTCCGTCTGCTCGGGATCAGCCTTGAGTGGATGTGACAGCCAGTCGGATGAGCAGAAGCCCGCCCGGCCCTCCTCCCGGACACGTACCGCTGCCCCCGCAGCTCCGCACAGCTGCTCAATGCGGACGCCCGGCTCCCACCCGTTCCGGCCCGCAGCAAGTGCCGCAACTTTCCCCGCGCCCCCGCCGCGGTGCTCCGGCCTCCGACCCCGCAGCGCTCCGCTCCCAGCGCCTTACTGCCACTGCCGCCGCCGCATCCTGCTTCGAACTGCTGCTGCTGCTGCTGCTGCTGCTGCTGGCACGGCACGGCACGGCACGGCACGGCACGGCACGGCACGGCACGGCACGGCACGGCACGGCACGGCACGGCACGGCACGGCACGGCACGGCACGGCCCGTCGGGCGCGGTGCGGTGCGGTGCCACCGGCCCCAGCCCGCCGCTCCCCGCCGCGCTAATCCCGGCGCGGGGCCGTCACTCCGCCCCGCTGACAGCCCCGGCAACCAATGGGAGTTCCCGCAGGGCGCCGCGCCCCGCCCCGCCCGGTGGCACCGGGACACGCGGCGGCGGGGGCGGCCGGACCGCGCCGTGCCGGGCCCTTTGTGCGTGCCCCGGGATGACATCACGCTCGTGTCCGTGTGCTCGTTCCGGTAACACCGTGATCATCCTCATGCCCAGGGCGACGCTGTGCTTATGTCCGTGAGCGTGTCCCTGGGTAACGCCGTGCTCATTCCGTGTCCCGTCGTGCCTGTCCCCACGTGCCACCGTGAACCTGTTGGTACGCACCGGTGGGTGTGAGCACTGCCGCGGGAGGTGCGTCCCTGAGCAGCAGTGGGCACATTCCCGTGGGAATGCGTCCTGCTCATTGCCACGCTGCTGTGCACTGCGCACCATCACTGCTTGGAGTCTGCAGAGACAAAGGGCCAAAAGCTTCCCAAGCTATGGGAAATACCACTGTGGTGTCAAAAAACAGCACCAATGCTGGGGAATAAAACCATCCCATGTATTGCCTACTGGGGCAGTGGGTGCTGGGGTCTTGGCCACCGTGCTGCCAGCACCAGGCCTACACATAGCAGCAGCTGACAGCAGCGCTCATCTCTTGCCCAGGCTGCTGGATCAATGCAGTATTAAACAGTCCTTTATTACCTAGCCTGGCAATTGTTACCATGGGCATGCAGGAGGAGAGGCCCAGGAGAGCGGGTGTCCCCTGTGCATGCAGTACTGCAGGAGGAACATAGGCAGAGCACCCTTCTGGATGCAATCCCCACCAGCAGTGAGTCCAGCTCCATGCCTGCCTGCCCTTGCTATCACCCAGAAAGCGTGTCCTTTTGTCCCTGCCTGGGCGTAGGGACACGGGGAGGGAGCAGCCCGCTCTGCTCATCTTTAATGCATAGAAGCACTGCCATTTTCTCCCCTCCTCCTGCAGGCTGCTGCCTGCACAGCCCCTCTCCCCCACACCGGGGACTGTGGGTCCCCGAGCTGCCTTGCACTGACAGCTTCCTCGGCAGACTGGAGCGGAGCTGGGCTAATTAGGGGCCTCACAGCCACGGGATCAACGACCTGATTCCTTCAGCAGCTTCTTTGATGGCAGCAGGGTGGGGGGAAGGCTTTTCTCTAAGCCAGTGCTGGAGTGTCAGATTTAACCAAGTGGAAGGGCTTCGAGCTCCCCAGTATGCCCATACCAGGGCCCTCCTAGCACTGCCATTTCCCACTCCCACCTCCTGCTTTGCTGTGCCCCCTTGCCTTCCCACAGCTTTCTACCCTCTCTGCTCGCTGTCATTTGGGCACTTTGACCCCTCCAGTCCATGAACACAGACACCGTATCACCCTGCATGGTCCCACTTAGCCACACGTCACCCCATCCCACCTCCTGGACCCTGCCTGGTCCAGTCCTGGGCAGTGTCCAGCAGCACTTTGCATAACTGCTGCTGCCTTTGTCCTTGCTCACCTCCACAGACCAGTGCTGCGCCTGTCTCTCCTGCACCCAGTTATCACCAGGATGGCTCAACCATGACCGTAGTGCTTGCAAGGCACCATCAAGGACATTGGGCTGTCCCAGCCACCACACAGAGCCCAGTGGCAGGAGAGACCCACGTGCTGTGGCCCCCATCGCATCCCAGAGAGCTCAGGCTGCTGACCAAGCCAGCAGGGCAGTGCTTTGGCTCCAGAGTATAGCACAGCCCTGCAGATGTGGGTGTCCCGCTGGCAGGTGCTTCTTTCTGGTGGGCTGAACCACGGTAATGCAAACCCAGTCCCACAGGAGGAGCTGAGTACCTCTTATCTCCAAACTGAGTGCTCAAGGCAACTGCTGAGGTCGCTGTGTTCCCCCAAGGCCCAGACTTAACTACATGGCTCTAATTAATCCCTTCTGTGCCAACACCCAACCGCATCCTCACTAGATATTAAAAACCCACTGCAGTACAAACCAAGCCTTTAATGGGCTGCTGCGCTTATCTGTTGTCCCACCAGGCACTGGTTATGGATAAATGGTGCAGACACCCTGCCCTGACACTCACCACACCATCCAGCCCCATGCAGCACAGAGCACATGTGTCATCCCCTGGCACCTCCTGCTCTCCAGCTTGGGGGCACTCACCTGGCTGGGGGTGGGTGAGGACACGGCCCTGGGTGCCTGCCTGCACCAGCATTGCTCCATCAGGACGAAGGCAAACACGCCATCATGGTAGAAACTGTCCTGGGAATGTGGGAGGTGGGGCCTCAGCACAATTTGAGCCATAAATAATCTCCCTACACAGCAGTTAAGGGAACAACTGTGTGGGAGTATCTCTTGGTAAAAAAGATGCTCAGGGAAAAGATGGTCTTGAAGAAAAGCAGTTGTCAGGGTCTGGTTGTGGGGTGTGTGCTGCGGTGAGCTGATAGGCTCAGACCCGCAGGGAGGAGAGGTTAGCCTTGAAAAAGGCAGCCCTGCAGGTCACTAGTGTGGGCTCCTAGCAGGCAGCACACGGCACAGATCCTTGGAGCTGCTCTCCAATTGCAACAGTATGGAGTGATGCCCTCTCTCCTTCTTTGGATTCACATGGAGAAAGGCAAAAGGGTGCAAAGAGGATCAGCCAGTGGATGCAGGGACTGTTTGCTGTAGAAGAGGGATGGCGAGCCCCAGGCATGCTGCCTAACAGCAGGGAGGGAGCGTGGGCACATACGTAATTGTGAAAAGTGTGGAAACTGAAATATCAGATGAGGAGGAGTAATTACAGGTGTAGTGACAAAGCTGAGCATCCAGACCAGACACCAGGCAGTCTTCCAGTTGCCCACCTGGGCTTTGCTTTACTTTGATTTGATTGTAGGTTTCTTTAGATCTCACCATTTTAACCCTAACTGTAGACTCAGATTGTCTATGGTAGAAAACTGCGAACAGTCCAAAGTCTTTGCAAGGTTGCAGGCACTTGGCCAGTGAAGTGCTCAGCCACCACATCAGGGGACCATCTTAGAACCTGTAACAGTCTCCTATCAACAGAGCACATCACCCAGACTACTCTGAGCCTCAGCAGGCCTGGGAAGCTCTGCCATCCTCAGAGCATGCCTTTGACATGGAAATAGCTGCATTAACAGTGCAAGAGCAAGCCAGGGGTCACAGGGGGAAGGACTGGCCCAAGCTCCGCCACAAACCAGGGAACCAAGGCCTGGGCTCCTGGCCTGTGGGCAGCCCTCCTATCCACAGGGCTCCTTCCGTGCTGGCCCCAGTGTCCCAAACATGAGATCAAGAGCATGCCACTGTGCTGGGCACCTCACACACAGACACCAGCAGAGCTGGCTGATGTTTGTGTGCTTCAGCAGGACATCCATGAGGATGACACTGGCAGGATCAGCCCAAGGCCTGGCTCCCAGCAGCCAGAATCGTATGCTGACAAGGCAGGCACAGGAAAGCTGCAGTGACCATTGTCAGCTAATCTGCTCCCTCCCCCTGGCTCAGGCCACTCCTCGTCACCAGGATCAGCTCAAGGCGTGACGCAGAAAGCTGTCCCCTTGCATGGCATCAGCAGCACTGGGTGACAGCAAGCTCACTCGTGTCACCCACTAAAGGACTGTATTCGGCTGTGCTACACACAGCCCTGTGGTCCTGCAAGCACCGTGGCTTTCAGCCCAGAACTGCTGCTGAACAGGAAGCTTCAGAGTGTCCAAAATGGTATCTTACATAGGGAAAAGAAGAGAAGGGGCCTGGTGAACCATAGGGTGCAATCCTCCAAAGAAAAGGAAGCACCCCCAGCTCACTTCACCCATCTGACCAAGGGCAGCCTCCAGCCCAGAAGCTGGAGCTCTGCATGACACCAGGCACACACCATGCCAAGGGGATAGCAGGACACACAGCCCACTGTGTACTGTCAGAAAATCATCAGGCCTTTCGTTCTCCAGAAGCAGTCAAGACAGTCTTTCCCACTTGCTCTTTCAACCGCAGAGAGCCAGCAGTAACCCAGGGAGAGTTTTAGCCGAGGCCCAACCTGTACCACGTACAGCACACCCCCACAGATACTGGGTGGGACCTACCATTGCTGCAGGCCTATGCAGGAAGCTCTGTTGGACATCTTGATGGTGTGCTTCAGCATATCTCCTGGCAGAACTGCATCACTTGCAGACAGTCTGTGTACAGGAAACAGAACAGTCTAAGCATTTCCCAGCTGTCCACAACTCCTAGTGTCTTCATACCACGTGCCATGGGCAGAAGGTGCAGATGAACCTGCCTGCTAACTGCCCTAGGATGTAAGTCCTGGGAGCACCCATACACCCAGTGGCACTAAGCCTCCTCTGAGCCCCCTCCCACCCTTGCCACAGGCCCAGGGCATGCAGCTGAGACCAAGGAAGGACACTCAGTCATACTTCTGCCTCTGTTACATCCTGCGGTACCCAGACTGCATCTGTGTAGCTCTGCTCTGAGCCCTGCCACCAGCAGGCTTCTGGGAAGTGACTCAGCCAGCAGAGTGAAAAACACCAGCAGAGATTGAAGCAGGAGCAGCGTGGCCTCACTTGCCAGCCCCATATACATGCTGCTTGGAGAGAACCACAAGCATAGCACAGATCGGTGAGTTTGGCACGAGCCAGGGCTCTTGGCCAGGGCTCCTGACACCAAGGTAGCTGCACAGGCCAGCAGTAATGGAGATACAGGCATCACCTCCAAGGCAGAGCAAGGGGTTCCCTGACAATCGTCAGTGAAGAGCCAAGAGATGTGGGCACGTGGGACCTCCTGGGCGCAGTGATCCCACACCTGCAGTGAGAGCAGTGCCATCCATGCCCATAGGGCAGCACTGAGGCAGAAAGACCTTTCCCCAGCCACCCTCCTTGGCAAGCAATGAGCGGGTTGTGAAGGGAAGGCAAGATCTTCCTTCCTGGAGAATTTGGGACCGCAAGGGAACAGCCGCTGGTTCCCACTGGAGTTGTTATGGCAACGTCAACGGGAGCGGCTCGGGCCCCTCTTCGCGGGTCCGGAGGCCGTCGGCGGCACGGACCCGCTCCTCCCTGGGGACAGGGAGGGGCGGGACGAGGCGAGGGCGGCGGCGCCGGTGGGCAAAGTCCTACCGGTACGGGCACCGGGCGGAGAAGCCGGGCCCAGCGACTGCGGGTCGGGGTGCCGAGAAAAGAAGAAGCCCGAGACTCGGACTCTCCCGGAGGCCAGAGGAGGGGCCGGGGCGGGGGCCGGGGCCCGGAGGCTGCGCCGTCGCTCACCGGCTGCGGCGGCTCCCAACGGGTCCCGGCTCCGCGTGGTGCTGAACGGACAGCGCCCAGCGCCGCGCATGCGCACGGCCGCCCGCTAGGGGCAGGGGCGTGCGTGGGGGCCGCCAGTCGGGGCGGTGCGGGGCTCCGGGAGCGGTGTGCGCCTGGGAACCGTGTAGCCGCCGGACCGGAGCAGCGGGCGTGCTAGCCTGTGGAGAGCGGGATCGATGGGGACCTGGGGTACCGGCGTGCGAAAGGGAACCGGGACAGCTGCGAGGCCTTAAAGCTGTGAGCTGGGCACGGGGACGGCAGGCACCTGGAGCACTTGTGCGCGGCTGCATCGGCCCGCTCCCCCCGGCCCGTGCCCGCGGGCTCCCGCACCGCCTCCCGGCAGCCATGGGCGGGGGCTGGGGGAGGGGCACGGCGCTGAGAGGCGGGGCATGGCGTCAGGGGGCGGGGCAGTGGTGGTAGGACGTCACTGCGGGCACCGGTGGACAGCAGGAGGCCTGTTCGGGTGCAGCCGGTGTGCTTGGAGTTCCGGAGGGAGTCCCGCTGGGTCCGCAGGTACTGTGGCAGGGCCGGACCGAGACCGGGCGTCCCGGGACGGGTCTTGGTGCTGAGGGTGTGCGGGAAGGCTTATGTCGGGCCGCCGCCGTTATCGCCTCGTCCCGGGGCCTGTAGGCCCCCGGGACTGCCTCGTCCGAGGTCCCTCGTCGCGGGGCTGGAAGTGGGGCCGGGGTGCTGCGAGGCTCCCAGCGCTGCCCTGTGGGGCGGCCTCTCGCTCCGCCGAATGCCGCAGGGCCGGAGTGCAGCGGAGTTATCGCGGGGCGGAGCTGCTAGGCGCAGGAGCCGGGTGCGGTCCCAGCGCAGGCTCCAGAGTGGACTGCTGGGGCCGGGGCTCCTCGGGCAGCTGGTGCGGTGCCGTGCCGCGGGGCGCTGCGGGCCGGGAACGCGCGTCGGAGCCGTGAGCTGCCGCGCTGGGAGCCGGCGCCCCCGAAGGTGGTTGCCCACTCCGTTGCTGCGTCTCGACGTTTGGGCTTAGCTGTGAGGGACGCCGCTGAGTGTTTCCCTCCGTCCGTTCCTCCCAGAGACGCCCGGCTATAGCTGCGGGGTGGCGTCGACTGGCTCCCGCACAGCCTGGCTCCCTGGCGGCCGACGATGAGTTTGACCCCTTCGAGGGGATGCCTCCTGGACCTGCCCTGGGAGGACATCTTGGTCCCACATATTCTCTGTCATCTGCCGCTGCAGCAGCTCCTGGGCCTGCAGAGGGTCAGCAAGGCTTTCCAGGCTCTTGTCCAGCTGTACCTGGCCAACATGCGATGCTTTGACTCCAGCCAGGTATGGGGTGGCTCTGGGGCTGGGGAGCTGTCAGTGTGCTGACGTGGGAAAACCTGGCTGCGAGGGGACAGGGAGGTTTCTGCTTGTGAGCTTGGGCTGGTGGCTTGTGTGTCTGGCTGGGCAGATGGGCTTGGGGAGGAGGGGTGATGATTCAGGGCCCAGTAATGCCACTTCTGCCTTTAGCGAGAGGCGTGGGGAGGAGTGAGCCTGGAAACTCCACCTAGACCATTATGGGGCAGCGGCTCATGGAAATGAAGCCAGCTTCAAGGTGGCATGGCCTGATGACTGTCACCAGGGGTTATGCAATGGAATGGGTTCATCAGGAGATGAGGGATAGCTTGTGCCCATTCTGGAAACATTGTCTGGGACCTGTGCAGAGGTGGCTACTGCTCTGTGAAGACCCAGTGGTCTGCCATAGAGGTTTTGGAGAGCTTCTTGTGGATGTATAAATGCAGAGATGATGAAGGAGGAGAGAGTATCTCCCAGCTTGTGGCAGCAGCCTTGACTTGAGGTGCTTTGTGGAGAAGAGCTAGGTGGCACGGTTTGCTCTAGGACTGGGAGAGGGTGGCTTTGGTCACCTTTGTGTCACAGTGGAAAAGAAGAAGGGAATGGGACTCTGGGAACTATTAGGCTGAGCCATGCCAATCTGAGGTCCCTGAGGATGCCTCACTGTTACTGGGTTCCCCATGCAGATTAGCTCGGCCGTCCCTAGAGATGCTTTCCTCAACCTGCTGAAGGACAACAAAGTGCTGCAGCAGCTGGCGCTCCAGAACTGCTCTGACTGGCTGACGGATGGGGAGCTGCTCCCAGTCATCATGCAGAACCACCACCTGCACCACATTCAGCTGAAGGGCTGCGCCCAGCTCAGCTGCCACGCACTGATGGTCATCTCGCTGAACTGCCCCAACCTGCGGCAGCTCTCCCTGGCTCACTGTGAGTGGGTGGACAGCCTGTCCTTGCGCAGCCTGGCCGACCACTGCAAGGCGCTGGAAGCTGTGGATCTGACGGCCTGCCGGCAGCTGAAGAATGAGGCCATCTGCTACCTGGTGCAGAAGTGCAGCAGGCTCAAGTCTCTCTCTCTAGCTGTCAATGCCAATGTAGGCGATGTGGCAGTAGAGGAGACTGCCAAGTGCTGTCCTGAGCTGGAACACCTGGACCTCACAGGGTGTCTGCGAGTCAAGAATGACTCTATAAGGTATTGAACGATGTGGGAAGTAGGGTGCGGAAGGCAGGTGTCCAGGGTGGGCAGACGAGACCTTGGGAGGGGAGTCTTGCAGCAGAGCCACTAGCAGGCCCTCTGTGCTACTGAAAGCAAATTTCCCAGCATGTTGAGGAAGGTACCTGACCATGTCCTTTTGATTCTCTCGGACCACCATGGTGTTGTTTTCAGAGGATGGTGTGTGTGTGGCTGCTGGGAGCGGAAAAGAGGTTATGCTGACGAGTTATGCATATGGGAGTCTGGCATGCAACTTGCATGTGCTCTGTCTTGTCAGGGTTCTGGCTGAGTACTGTCCCAAGCTGCGCTCACTGAAGGTGAAGCATTGCCACAATGTGGCTGAGTCCAGCCTGAGCGTTCTCCGAAACCGTGGAGTGGAGCTGGATGTGGAGCCTCTGCCGCAGACGGCTCTTGTTCTCCTGCAGGACATGGCTGGCTTTGCCCCTTTCATTAACCTCCAGATCTAGAACTGCTGCTGCTATTGGGGGGGGAGGGGGAGGGGGCAACATGTCACTGAGATCCCTGGTGGACGCTGGAACTGGTTCCTGCTGAGATGTGCAGAGGGAGAAGTCGATCCTGTTGGTGAGGCTGGCCCAAAAGGGGCTCACTCTTCTCTCTGGGGCTATTTAACAGCCACTGCACATTTGTGAGTGAGCTCTGTGTGTGCCTCCTGGAGAACAAACTCCCTCCGAAGCAGAGTGAAGACAGTGAGGAACTTGCAGGAATACCATAGTGCTGAACAGACCAGCTAATACACAGGATTTATTATTTGTCACATTTTAAATTTCAAAGTTGCAGTTCTCCAAAGAGCAGGAGAATGTTTGAGGACCGTGGACTGTCACCTTCTGAGGAACTTGTGTAGGACACGCCAGCACTGCTGTTGAGAACAATCCACGCTAGCTGGAGTAGTAAGGAGAAAAACTGGCAGCCCTCATTCTGGCAGGTGAGCTCTGGGAGGAAGGCAGTGTGAGCCCAGCGTACATGTGCAGACCTAGCACCCTGCCACAGGCACTGGGTTAGCACAAGACAGTAATTGTTTTCTAGGGGAATATGCTCCTAACTGCAATTCCAGTAGAGGAAAAGCACCAAACCTCATTGTGCTATTGCTGAGAGCAGTTGGTTCTTGCTATTTGTTTCTTCCAGATTATGATTTACATCTCTGTGGTACTCAGACCTGCTCCTACATCCTGCTCCATGTTGCACAGCTGTAGGCTTGCTATACAATAGTGGCTAGAAATGGCAATTGCCAAATGGCCTGGCCATACTGTCAGCTGGAGTTCATGGAGTGCTGCAGGTCGCGTTGGCAGGGAGAGCCCAGCTCTTGTTTAGAGTCTAGCCTCATCATCTGCATCTAATAAGTGGTCAATCAAAGAGTAGCTACTTGTAGTAAGCAAGATGAAGGTAGTGATTAGGAGACGACCCTGCTCCTTGAAGAGGGATCAGAGGCAGGGTCTGTAAAGCATGTGCATGCTTCAGCTGAAATACACACCAACTCACATCACCTTTATTAACACTTGCACTCAAAGCAACAGTGCACAGAGATTTCTAAAAAGCTTGCTGCAAAACCACAAGCTACATTTTTAGATCTAAAGTCCCATGCAAGGAATAGCAGAGAACGCCCAGGCTCCCAACAACCATTATGGAGTGCCCCAGGGGCAGAAGCGCAGCTACACAAGGAGAGGAGACTTGACCTTATCAGCTAGGTTAGTTCAGGAAGCTGAAAGCAGTGTCCTGGCTCCTAGGTTAGTTCCAGTTAGTGTTGGGTAGGGGAGTCCCTTCATCCCCAGTGCTGCATGTCCATCCTCCACACCTGGCCAGTGAGGTGGAGGCTGAAGAGCAGGAGGACATGGCTGTCAGTGGAACTTGTACTTCCTGGCTGGTTTGAGGCTGATGTAAGTTTTCTTCATCTCCTCACTTTCTGGCTTCTTTATGTCTTTGTACCTCTCTCCCTTTGTACTCACCACCTGGTTATCGATGTAGCGGATCAGCTTCTTGGGAGCCTGGAAAGACATAAACATCACATAAGGGCGACAAGCGTAAGCTTGTGCTTGGTGAATAAGGGAAAAGACTAGGTTGGGATGAGTACCTGTCCTTTACGTTGGGAGTCTTAGCTAAAAATGGGAAGAAAGCGGTCTGAGGAGGGGGCAGAGGGGAAAAGCTGGAGGGAGCAGGAACAGTGCTAGTCAGGAGTGCCAGATAATCACAGACCCTGCAGTAGCACCTCTTAGCTGACTAGTTCTCCTTTGAGACTACTGCTGCAAATTCCCTCGTGTGTTATGCTGCTATTTAGATGTGCAGCCTGCTCTTTAAACCTTGCAGCCAAAGGCATTCAAACTCCCTGTGAGCTGGAACTGCACTATTCTCACCTCTTTCGGTGGAGCGGGTCGATGTGTTTTCTGATCTTCTGCACTATCCACCATCATATATCTGAAACACAAGATGCAGTAAGTGAACACTGCAACATGCATTGCCTAGCGCTATTCACAGCCTTTATCTCTAATTTCCTGTCTGGTTTGGGGCTGTGCAATGTGTCCTACTTGCGTAGACTGCAGTTAGGAGCACTTAAGATTCCCTACTGAATGAAATAGGTAAGAAGAGTGTCACCCTTCTGATGAGAATTCAAGAGAATTCTCATGGAATAGCTGGCCGTATGAATGGTATCAAAACCTTAGGCTGTTGAGAAAGCAGATAGCTTCCTTAAAACTGAGGGAGGTGCTGAGGTCGGCATGCTTTGCCATTAGGACAACTTTGCTCCTTTTCACTTGGTGTGATGGCAGCCAAAGGAAGAGGCCACAGGGCCAAATCTCTTCTGCCTGAAGAGATGGTATGCCTTTCACACTCCATGTGCTACTTGACAAGGAGTTGAGTTTGAGCTGGAAGCAGCTTAACAGAAACATCATCTCACTCCCTATTTAAAAGGAACACCAGAGCCCAAGCATTTGCTTGCTGTACTGCTGAATTAGCATTGAGACTTCAGAGCTGGTCTGTAGGTGGACAGCACAGCTGACCACAACTTCTCCCTCAGTACTTAGCATAGTTGTTCCTGTGTATTTTCAGCTATGGCAATCTGCTCTTTGTACCTGTGCTTGAGTGATGTTTAAAGTACAGGATATTGCCAAAATGTCATTAAAGTTCCTAGGAACTTAACTATCAGCTGGTGTTGGCTTTTTTTATTTTGTTCCCATACATTTTATTGTGAAGCAAGCCTGCAATGGAAACAGGCACAGATGGGGATTGTTAATTTTATCTGGATGGCATTCTGCTTTGCTTTTGCTTTCCTATACCATCAGTTGTTTACATCCTCGAGGAGTAACATGGTGGCAAATATGATTGGATAGATGCATTGAATTTGTGTGCCCACAGGAGGATATTCATGAAAGCTGAGATCTTAAAGTGGATCGATTAAACCACACTGTGGGTTGTCTATTGAGAATTAAATGCGTTCAGAAATGAATAAAGGTAAACCAATGTAAAGCCACCTTCATTCCCTAGAAGTCCATAGGGAGACTTCAGAGAGGTTTCCTTAAATGCACTGAACTTGCACCTTCAGCAACTGAGATTTGATCTCTGTTGCTGTACAGTCTCTTAAAGATATCTTTAGACTTATTTGGACTGTCTCCAAGGCTAGAGGTATGAATGAGCTGCTGTAGTTCTTACAAGGCACCGTGTGTTACCTGAGCTGCAGTATGATGTTTGTGCCTTGAACCTTTAACTGGGACCTCAGATGACAACACTGTGATTTACAGTATACCTGTAATAGACTGAAACCTCACATAACCAGTGTTTTGACCCCACTGATGGAACTAAGCTGTGTGCCAGAGCTGTAAAAAGAAAACCTATTCTGCTTTCCTGTCTAATCATTATACTTGTGCTTGAATGTGTTTCAGATATACCCAGATAAGCTTCACACAGCATCCTTTCCAAACATCACACAGTCCAAGATCTTCATAGACCATGTTGTTATTCTGCCACCATACCTTTTCACAAACTGCTAACTCCTTCACTATCCAAATTCTTCTTTTCTGAGTACTTACTTCTGTAAGATAACCTGCTTTAGTTCCTCATGGTTGGGTGCTCTGCGGGGCCGCACCAGCTCCTGTGAAGAAACAGAGCAGGTGTTTGAGAAGCAGAACATAGAGGGTGCACAGCTGCCCTGCTCGCTCAGCTAAGCCCAGCTACTGATGCAGTACTACCAGCTCATGGGGGAAGTGAGGTGCCAGACACAGCTCCTCTGGGCTGCTGGCTTGGTGTAGGCACAGCCTGTGCTTGGAGAGCTGAGGGAGAGGGGGGCATCGTTTTGGATCTTTCTGGTATATTGCTGGAAGCGTAGAAAGCTCCTGCACTCACTTCCTATTCCAGCTGGAATATATGTATTTAAGCTCTGCTCACTGACCTGGTGCCACCCAGCTCAGAGTACAGTACCTTCACACTTGCACCTGCTGTGCCGATTTCCACCTTCTCTTCCACAATTAACTGCACTGCTTCTTCCAAGTTACCCAGGGCCATCGCTAGTGCCTTCTCTGCCTGGCTTACAGTACAGGCTGGGAACATCTCCAGTAGCAGCTCCACACCACCCTTCAAGTCATCGCCTGCCTAGTTGGAGCAAGAGAGACAGAGATCTGATTTTGCAGAACAAAAGTATCACTGCAAAGTTGGGAAATTCAACTTGCTGTTAGCTGAAGGCTCTCTCTCTCTCTCATTATAAAGGTGAGTATAAATTCCTTTCTTGAAGCTAAAAGGACACTGTATCCACAAGGAGAACGCACCCCTTAATCTATTCTCCCTGTATTTCAGTCCTCTTTGAAACAGGCTTTCTGTGTCCTGGTTCATCTGTGTGGTTCTGCTATTTATCTCCTTAGGAATAAATTTTCTGGGCACTGTGGCTCAAATGCTTGAACTCCTTCCCTTGCAAGGTTCTCTCTGATCACAGAGGGATGACACTCCTAAGCACAGGGACCTCTGGCTACATCAGAAGGAAGCACAGCAACAGCATTTCCTAGAAGGGCATGGACAAAATGATTGAACTGCAGAGCAGTAGAACACCAGTACTGAAGAAACAGCAAGCAGAGCTTGAGGTAAGGAGCTGGGGGGGGTTTACTAAGTGCTGCAATGCTTGCAGTGTGGGTCACGCTGAATGGAGCTGCAGAACCAGGACTGCTGTGCTAATGACTCACTGTGGTGCAGCTCAGTATATAGAACACCTCATTGAAGGTGGGATGGATGTCTTCAGGACTGACACTCAGATATGACCACTAAATGCTGCATCATAGCTATGGAGATAAACGGTAACCAGGTTCAACTGTGAATGGAACTGGGGGAAGTGGGGTGGAGCCTGGCTAGCTCCTGGCATCCTTACTGCACTCTAGGATTTCGGAGAGTGCTAAGACAAGCTTTCTTCTGCCTTGCTGCCTCAGGACTGGAAAGGATGAGTCAGAGTGACAACTTGTGCTCTTCTGGCAGCACATAACTTTCCACTTGAACACAGTCTTGCTCAGGTCATACAATGGGGTGATCGCAAGCTTCAACAATGCTGTGTCACAGCCTATGCTTGTGGTTCCCCTTGGAGCCAGAAAATGCCTTAGTTGGTACCAGTCGGCCAGTGCTAGGGATTCTGTCACCCTGCTCCACTGTGGGATGTACATACCTGGGCCCCAGCTCCGTCTGTAGGTGTGCACAGCCTTTCATCTTTGCAGACTCCAGCTCCAGGCTCCTGGCCTTTGGTCAGGTCTTCAGAGGGCACTTCTGTTCTGCTTTCCACAGCTTTTTGGCTAGGTTTTTCTTAAAGACACAGTGATATCTACTGAGGATCAGCCCCACTAAGTACAGAGCTCTGTGCTTTCTGTTAGTAGGAGACTGTTAGTGCACTATCAGCTGAAGTGAATCTTCTCTTAAATGAAAAGACAATGGAAAGCACTACTGTTCTTGTTGCCTTTGGTGAGCATAGCTGCAGCCCTGCTCATACTGACCTGCAGGAAGGCAGTGCTAACATGCTGGAGTGTCTGAGCTCTGCATTCCCATGCTTTTCACAAGCAGTCCTACTCTAGCATTCTCAGGCCTCTTACATTTTGGCTGTGGGTATTTATGGTATTGTTAGTAAGTGTCTAAGAATTTCCTGATGTTTGCTCTAACTTTGAACCAAGATGTTATTCTGATTTTAAATCTAGCAAAACGCATTGGTGGCTCCCAAGCTGTGTATAACCCAGCACGCCTTGTGGCCAGGTTACTCTGATGCATCTCTTTTTATAGGCTCTTTCTGTGTCACTATAAGAATTATTTCACCTCTTCTCTAACCTATCTGAAAGGCTACATCAGGATTCTTAAAGGGTAGGATGCAAGACACTGGAGCAGAGCAGTAAATTCAGTCAGTTTCAAGGTGAAACTCACCTTTGTTACGTGCTTCACCAAGCCTTTCTGAGAGAGAGAACATCATTTCACAAACATTCCCACTGCAAGAGACAGATGCTGAATAATTAGGGTGAGGAACTAAAGCACTAGCCTATCCCACTTGACTTACTCTTTATAAAGATATGAGGCTTGATGGGAAGCCCAGTTACCAAAACTAGCATTCCAGATAGCCAAGTATCTAAGCTGTTAACTATCCTGGGATTAGGATTTGTGCATTCAGACAAAGCCTAGCTTAATCATAATGGTACAGGTTCAGTACTAACACATCCCAATCTGGATATAAACAAGAATTCGTGGTGCTGATGTGGTTGGGCCAGGCCCTCAGTGCGTGGCATGCACATACAAAACAGTAGCATTAACACACCTCTGAATTTCTGCAAAGCCAGGGATATATGCCTCCATCATTTCCACAAAGGTGTCCATGTCGAAGGTTTCCTCAGAGGACTCTGGTGAACCCAGCTCTTCCAGGACACCCGTAATGTAAGAGAAGAAAACTTCATCCATCCCACTGGAGAAAGAGAACACGGCACAAGTAAGCAGCATCAACAGGACCATATTCTTTCTCTCCATCTCTGTTTGCCTCTGTTGCATCTAATAGAACAGCAGAAGTGCCTATATGGGAAGCATTCATGGATAAATCCAGAAAACTTTGTTTGGTTCACCTTCCTAGGCAGGATTGAATGAAAGCCACTGCATCTGTCTAGATACTGCGCCCTTGAGGATATGTCAGCTGAGCTACCCAAAATATTCCAAGTGCTCACATCCTGATTTTTGTGTTGTCTGGTGTTCTAGGTGATGTCATTATGTTTTATCAAGTTACAGCTTCCATGTGATGCAGTGTTCTCTGCTGACCCACCTGCATCACTGCTGCCAGTGGCTACATAACCGGCTGCCTCAAGGCAGCTGTATCTCTACATGTAGGCAGAGTTCAAAATAGGGAGAGCTGTGACACAGCAGTGTACTGCTTAGAAAGCCTTCTGGGATCGTTGTAGATGAAAGGAATTCCATATTCTAACATGTACTACTAGGCAGGAAATTAATCATCTTGGTCACCAAAGAAATGACACTGCTAGTCTGTAATGCTGAAACATAGTTCAAGGATTTACATCAACACCTGTACAAATTATCTGCATCCTGGATATGACTTAAAGAAGAGCAAGACAAAATGCAGGAAAACTGCAAATGTTGCACTTGAAATTTAGTACAACGTATAGAGGGACAATTAATGCAGAGTTCAAGCTAAAACAATACTCAACATACCTGAGGTCTGCAGCAGGGATGTGGGACTGGATGAAGCACGTCAGTGTCTCTCTAATGATTCTTTCAAGTTCCATGTCTCCTTAAATCTTTTCTCTAAAAAAGAGGAGGAAAAGAAAATTCCATGTAATTTCATGTGGTAGATATCAACAAGATCAAAAGGCAAGTGTGCTCTTCCCATCAGAACAATTCATAAATTCCTCCAATGTGGCTTGTTACCCCTGGGTAACAGCAGTCAGAAACTGGCAGAAAGCAGTGTGAGTATCCACAGGGAGTACCAGCCCAAAGAAGCCCAGCCTCCTAGGCATCTCCTGCTTGTGTTAACGCTAACAGTATGCAGCTGCACTGTACATTTAAAATGTCCCTTTCAGGAAGTAAAGATAGAAATGCAGATATGCCCAGCTGCAGGACCTCAGAGACACCTCCTGAGCAGGAATGCTGTGCTGTCTGGCAGGGAAGTGGTGGCTTGTGGGTTTGTGTGCTCACTGCAGGAAGGGGTGGACCTTTCATCTGCTAAGTATTCAGTGCTGCTTGGACTCAAAAATGAGTGGGAAGAAGGGTAATGTCTCTTGGAGAAAGAAAAACCTTGCCTGGATTTTACAGGAAAATACCAAGCAGGGCACAAGCAACTAGTCTGCCAGCCAAAATATCAAAGGTCTCCAGGTCAGGCATGGAGTTGCAGTGGAATCCTGTCCAAACAGGAGTGTTGTTGTGCTTGGTAAATGAGCCATTCTACAGGCAATGCAGCTGCAACAAAGGTCACTTGATAACCCAAAGCTCTCAGGGGAGTTCTAAGAATCACAGAGCTCCCACAGAAATAAAGGCAGAGGGAGCTGCCCACAGTCCTCCTTCAGCTGTCAGACGTGGGCCTGGACTGGATCTGGTGGGGAAAAGCTGTTCCTTAGCCACTCCTTCACATTTGGGTCTAAAAAACTGCTGGGTGAACAAACTCCTGGTGTAAGCACAGAGTTCTTCCTGAAGAGGAAAACTAGACCTGCATATATAGAAACTGTCATTGGCCAAAGTTTCCAGGCTACAAAGGTCATCTATAAACCCTTCTTTACATTTGACAATCACATCAGGCAACGAACACTGAGTTATCAATGCTGTATCACTATACAACCAACATACACATATTAAAACTCAGCATGTGCATAGGAAAAGCCAGGGAAGGCATCACTGGAAAAGACTGTTTGCTATTTAAAAAAAAAAGCTACTTCATAGAAGTACTTGCTCTCCTGTAGCTTCAGTTAGAGAACTCCCATTTAACAAATGGGAGTTAAAGAAAACAAATGTTTTCAGGTAGGAGCTCTTCATACAAAGAGCCCAAGTGAGCTCTTGTGCACTGCTTTTGTTTTTCATCCCTGCTGTAATCCTTTGCTCGCTTCTCTCAGTGTTGCAGATGTGACAGCCTGCAAGTGTGGCAGCTGGCTGTAAAAACTGCCATGTGTTAAAGCATCTTCCTGTTGCTCATTTCTTGTTTTTGTATTTTGCATGTTCTCTAGTGATGTGACAGAAATGAGGGGATCTTTGTTATCTTTGCAGTGTACCTGGAAAAAAAAAGTGAGCTTTCTTCCATCCTTCTCAGACATTAAAAAACCAGTGGTAAGATTCTGAATTTCAGTGATGGCAAGAATACTGTCCTGTGCACGTGGGTTTTTTTCCAAATTGGAAGCTGAATCTGCAAGTGCTGGCAATGACCAAGCCTCCTAAACTTATACTTGAACAAGTCCAAGCAAAGTAACCTTCCTTTCACAGAAAAAAGAGGTGGAAGATCAACATATAGCAATAAAAATGCTTTCTCTACTATCAATCCTGTCAAGAAGAATGCTTGCTTCCTTCCTTCCTACTCAGTCTTCATAACATCTGGTGAACTGAAATCTGAAAGATGTTGTCTATTTCCATGAATAAGCCAATATTCTGTAAGAGATACTATATAGTAACCAATAAGATTTTCTGACAACCCAATTACCTGAACAACAGAGTACAATTCACCATGTCAAAGGCACTTTTGTGAGGTTCATAAATTAGCTGCTGGTAATTTATTCTGATCAATAGAACAGGTAAAGTCACTCATCTCCGTAATCAAAGGCAAACGTCAGACTGAGACAAGAGAAACAGCAAAAAATAATTTAGAAATGGTGTTGTAGAGATAGGAAGCTACTAGCTGCTCTTGAATCCAATAGCCATAAGAAATACTCTTTTGAAGTGTCTGAAAATATTCAGATGATTTCCTGCAGAGTTAACTATGCTGTATCTGAATAAAGACCATTTCCTTCTGTCTATGAGAGGAAGGAAGGCACCAGGTTCTCACCACTGGGCATGAATTTTCTCTGGCATCTCACACAAATCCATCCACCAGCACACTCAAGATTTAAGGTCATATCCAGAGAAGCCAAGCTGCCAATGTTAGCCTGCCTTTGAAGAAAGGAAACCTTTTAATGACAAAAGCAGTCTTACAATGAAGGATAGAAGGAGGTGAGGTGAGTATTTCTTCATGGGTCAGCCATTGCCCTTTGCCTGAGGAATCCATTTCTGCTCCTATAAAACCACAGGAACGAACCTTCTGAGAGACAAATGCACTTGCATTTAATCACATACTACCAAGTGGGAGAGATTTTATTCCCTGGTAAACAGACTTACAAATTTTGGGGATCTGTAATGCACAATGGTCTTGGCCAAATGAGATGTGTGGAAGATAAGTTCTGATGGTCCTCTGGCCTTTCAGATTTAGTGGGTACTGAAATAGAGGGATCTGATTAAAAATTTGGCCACAAACATCTTAAAATGGATTATCTGGGGAAGAAATTGGTGCTGGTGTATGTTCCTCTCTGCACGTATCTGAGTTTAGAATTTAGGACACCAAAGCACCTTATATAAAATACCTTCAATTGCCACATTGTTTTCAATGGTGATCTGTAATAGTTAAGAGGGAGATTTACTAGAAGGCCTTATCTTTTGTGCAGTTCTGTGGAGGAGTGGTTTATAATGCGCTGCAAGATCTAAAACCCAAAGGCAGGAGAAATTGCTTTCCCAAGGGCACAACTGTACTGAAGAAGCACTACTGTTTTAAATTTCCAGCCATAATTGCAATGCAGCTTTTAAGATCCCTTCTAAAGTCAGCAGCTGATTCAAATATGTCTATGAAGGTCCCGCTGCACTTGTTGTAATGTGGGCTTGATTTGCACAGCATCTGTTTTTTTTAGTTATATTTGAGAAAAATTGGCTTCCTTTTGTACAACACGTGAATCCACCTTTCTTCAAAAAAAAAAAGACAAAAATCTGAAACGTCTGCATGTCAGCTAGATCATTTTTGAAGGCTCTTTAAGCTCAAATTTCCGTAATTGTTCTTAAATGGTCAATGTGGTGTGATGGGAATGATTGACACCACTTTGGATTTTATATTAACATGACAGACTTCAATTTAGGAAAATGTTTCTGAGCTAAGAGAAACTGCCATTTCGATGTGCATCAACTTTCACGAGACTGTAAAGTTGCGTAGCAAAGAGCTGGGGTTGCTGCAGGTGGACAGAGGTGCATGCTGTAGGCTTCCAGTGCAGATTTGAGAAAACGTTAGGTAAAAACTTCGGGGAACTTTGGGAAAGAGGCAAAGCTGCAGCTACGTTCCCCTCAACTACTGTGCCGCCTGAAACTCCGCTGGCTTCAAACTTTCCAGGCTGAATAACACTTCACAGCCTATTCCAGCACACCTATTTTTTGTTTTTCTTGCCGAAGACGTCCCTGAAAGGACACCTGCGGTGTGGTTGCTGTGGGAAAGCAGGCTGAGATCGCTGAAAACGTTAGCACTACTGACTGCTTGGTGCTGTAACATTAAAACAAGGCTGTCGGTAACTCAGTCTCCGCTGCTAAATTACACCTCCCGCCCGGGCCCTTACCTGAGCAGTATGACAGAGGCCCAGCTCACAGCCAGCGCTTACAGACCCTGCGGTGCGCACGGGGCCGACAGCCCATCCCGCGACCCGAACTCGGGAGGCCTTCGCGAGAAAGGAGAGCTCGGTGAGCCGCGTGGGGAGGACGGCGCGTTTCTTCTTTGCTGGCACACGGCCGCCGCTTATCCCGAGCCGTAACACCGGACCTGGCACACGGGCAGAGCGACTCTGGGACCCGATCGCCGCTCAGCGCCCGCTCACCGCATAGCAGCGTGCAGCGCTGGTCTCACACGGGCTGCAGAGGATTTCCGCCCGGCCCAGAGTCGCACCGCACCGAGCTTCCCGCGTACCCCCCAACCCCCGTCTCCCAGGAGCGGCGGTGCCACAGGGTCCCTCCGACGACGCACGGCCCGAGCCGCCTCTGCAGGGCCGCCCCGGGACCGCCCCATCCCCGCCCGGCCCCGCGCCGCCCGAGGGCCCCGCCGGCCCCGCGACCCCCCGCCAATCCCCGCAGCGCGCGGCCGCCGACGGGAGGCGGGCTGCGGGCCGGGGTCACCTGATCGCCACGCGCCCCCCCCTCCCCCGCGGCCTCACTCTCTGCCGGCGCAGGTCCCGCGCAGCGCGGTTGAAAACGTCACGTGGGCGCACGCGCCGCCAGTCATAGAGGCGGGAGCGGTGGGGCAGAGCGGCGTCGTGCTGGCGCGCTCGCCGCGCCGCCATTTTGGTTGTGGGCAGGAGCTGTGGGCCAGCCGTGGTCAGCCTCCAGTGTTCTGCGTCTTTGGGTTCCGCTTCTGTTTTTGCTGCAATTATCCGGCTACTCTACGTTGCTTTTCTTCTGCTCTGCGACTTGTGTTTAGTGAAGTGGTTATAAAATCCCCTGAACAAACGCCAGATGTCTGTGTCCAGTTCTAAGCCGTGGCTTCGCTGTGTGAGGCCATGCTGAGAACGAGGCTGGTGCTGGGCGGGCGGGCGCTCAGAGCTGCTGGCTGCACGGGGAAGCAGAAGGGCAGTTTTCAAGGAAAATGAAGTAATGTATGTAAAGCCCTTGGAAAGCAGCGTTCTTGAAGTGAACACGAACTGCTGCGGTGCTGTTGTCGGAACTAAGCTCCGTAGAGCAGGACTGCCCCAGCTAATGCATGGTAAGGATGGCACGTGAGGTTCTGCTGGCTTTTCACAGCACCCTTATTTGTGGGCAGGATTTTAGGATTCTTTAGTTCTGTGTCGCTCTGCTTTGCACTTTCCTGGCCTTGCTTGGACTTGTAATACTGGTAATAAACACTGGAACAAATGTAGCTTCTAATAGCTCCCTAATGCAGAGGTGAACTCAGAGGACTTTTGGACCTAGGAATCAATAAAAGCTCCATAAGGGGCTCCTCACGTAAACACACAAAACACACCTTGTAGAGGATCCAGGTGGAAGGGAGCAGCAGGGCAGGATAGTGTGCTCGGAGAGCCCTTCTCCTCAGCCGTGGGCTGCTGTAAGCCAGGCAGGTGAAGGTGCCATCTCGTTCTGTGATGGAGTTCATATTCGTTCACAAACACAGTGGATAATGCATGTGTTTTTAATTGGGCTAGAGAAAAATTGTTCCTTCTGCAGTTCATTACTATCTCCTTGTTGTCTAATATACTTGAAATAAGTATATGTATGGTTTTGTGGTATTTTGGTGTGAGGGTGGACAATATATGTATTTGAGTAATTTTGACTGTTACATATGCTTCTCTTTGATACCTGAATTGAGATTACAACAAAGAATGTGTTCTATACACCTGTTGTTGCCCCATGCTTTATGCAAACCTATTCCCTACAGTGGTGTTCTACGTTCTTTGTCTAGTCTGGTTTTAAAAGGCTTTGCTGACAGAGCTTAATATGAAGAAAAGAGTTTATTTTGGGGGTGCATTTCTTGATACTGTGGCTTTAAAAAATATATTTTTAGTTAGTTCCATCATACATTTGTATGTGTCTTTGAGACTGTTGAAAATATTTTCTCTTCCCTTTGGTGGGCCAAGAGTATCAGTGCGTAGATTGAGCGTTGTCCACTACTTTTGTACTTACCAAACCAAAGTAGGTTTTAATTATGATCTGTCTTCAGTCTTCTGCTCATGTTCACTTCTGCAATTTAGAATAAGTGTATTTTGAGAACAAATGTCGCTTCAAAAAAAAAAATAAATGTGTTCAGCAATGAATGTTAATTCCCGCATCACTACATAAATTTAAAGAACCTTATGTGGGGAAAACCTCTGCACATCCCTTTGAAAGCGCAGACCTCAGCCCGACTTCTTGCTCCAACCAAAGGAGACTCCAACTCTCCATTCCACTTTTACAGGGACGCCGAGGCACTGCCGTTTTCCTTAAGCAAGAATGGGGTCCTGAAGCCCTCTGCTGGATGTGCAGCAGAAGGCAGACAGCTGAGGGGAGAGTAAGTAAACTTCGAAAATGCAATTGCCATTTTCTCACATTTACTTCTTAGCTGATAACAAATGTGCTTAATTTGAAATCCAAGAGATGTTTATTTCTGCCACTCAATATCAGAGTCTCACAGGTGAATAAGCCTGCATTTCAAGGTTACAATTATATTTATTAGAGCCTTTTTGTCTTTATTCTTCATTGGTAGCAGGAAAGTTCTATGTAAATATATATATATATATACACACACACAACATATACATATATATATATGCATACATTTTGTTGTTACCCTTGTCTCCTGTTACTGCGACATGTACATTTTTGCAATTACGAAGGTCTTGTAACAGACAATTCTGAGGTTGTCTGCGACAAACGAATCTGTTTCATTCACAGGTATAAAAACCTTTAAGTGACAGAAATGGGTGATTTATCTAAAAATAAAGAGCGCAGTAAGTGAATAATAAGTAAATGAATAATTTGTCTGTCATCTTTCTGTCAGAGAACTCATTTGTGCTTCACATATTTTACATACAGTAGGCTGGAGCACAGAAAGATGACATTTATTTCCAAAAATCTCAGTATGTGTCTGCAACAGAGCTGCAAAGAGGAGACAAGAATTTAGGTTCCCTGACTCATCCTGCACCAACAAGTGTGCTACTTTGGAGCGTTTTGAGGATGTGAAAAAACAAAGTCTTTTTTAAATGTTTGGTTATAACACACTTAGGTCTGTAAAGGGATGAGGATGTGTGTCTGGAGCTGCTCCATTAATCTGACCAGTTTTAAGACTGTTAAAAAGATGAAACTAAAAAGCCCTAAAAAGAGATGGAGGCTTTTGTTCTTCAAAAGGCCCTCGGTGCTGTAATACTGGATGATGGTGTACTTAAGCCAGTGAAAAAAAGCAATTGGTTGGTTACAGCATAAAGTCAAACAAGGACTGCCCAAGTAAAAATGTCAAATGATCTCACAGCTTGGAGGAGCCTTTAGACTGCTGAATATTTAGGCACAGTGACCTGTGCGCAGGTGTTCTAAGGCAGCTTTTCTGAGCTTCTTGTAGGTGTAGCGAGTCAGAGCTCAGTGACTGATTCTTAGTCACTGCGTATGACTTCACAAAACAGTTGGTTGCTTTTTTTTTTTTTTTTTTTTTTTTTTGTTATTTGGCAAGTGTAATGCAGGGCTTTCTTAGTAGTGTTGTTATCGTGAACAACGGTCTGTTAACAATGGATGTTACATTGTTCTGAAGCAACTGACCTTTGCAGCATCAAGTCTGTTGTGACTCCTTGCCTTTTATCTGTGAATGCAGGCCCTCCTGCCACAATGGACCTTCTGTCTCTAGAATGCTTCTCAGTCCTATGACAAAGTGGATACTGGACACTTTGCCAGGCCAGACTAAATGGGTTTAAATATCATTTATTGAAAGCTTACTCGTTTGCCACATGTATTGTAGATAAAATATTGACAAGAGTTGTTCTTCTGTTGCATTCATATGTGGAAGTCATTTTTGTGTTCTATATTTTGCAGCAGCTTGTTCAGCCAGAATCCAAGTGTGAAGGGTTTCCTTACCTCAGAGTAATTTTAAGAAATGCAAAATGTGAATACTTAACTAGCTGAATTTGCATAATAAATGTCTGATCAGAAGAGGAAAATGAATTTAAAAAAATTAGTTTTAGGAGACAGAGTTGTTGTAAGCAGCAATGGAAGAAGTTGCAGCATCTGAGAACAGGCACAGCTCTCAAAGAAATGCTCAGTAATTTCATGACAGTTTCCATAGGTATATATTGGAAAAACTCTACAGTGACGGAGGATGAATGTTGTTAAGTAGAAGCTGCCATTTTCTAGTTTGGGCTGTATAGGAATTACCCTCTTTAAATATCACTGTTTGGTGAACTGGAAGGAGAAACTTATCCACTTCAAAATTTACCGTACTCCTAATTGCTCCCCGTGGCACCAGTTTATCCCGCAGTTGATGAGAACGGTACACTAATTTCCCTGAGGTAGCCCAGTTCTTCTGCTTGTTGTACAGAACAGTCCTTGACCCTGGCTTTTGGGCAGCAGGTGGACAATTTGTGTGAGAGCTGAGGGGTGTTGCTGAAGAGCAGTACAGCAGCTGAGCACTAGGTGCCACTCTGAGGCCGCAGTAGGAGCTTAGCAAGCCTGCAGCAAGAGCCATCCTGGAGGAGGAGAGGAGCGCTAGCTCCCAAAAAGCCCGGTGTGGGAGGCAGACAGGCCGTGCTCCTTGCATACCCCTCTAGTGAAGATAATAAAACAAATAATGAGAAGGTGAATCGGGGGCCACTGGCAGTAGGTTCAGCTCCCACGTGAACCAGGGCCAGCAGCAGGTGCTTCATATGGGAACTAAACCTCCACAGTTAGCAAATAATCTCCCAGTTTCAATGCATCATGCACAGGTGTCCTCACTTCTGACCTATTAGCCAGATGGGCTCAAAAAGGAGGAGGAAGAGAAAAGGGAAGGGGTGTTTATAGCTCCCTGGATGAAATTTCATTAGAGCTTAAGGATGCTTTGAAGCCTGTCTCATACGGTGTTTCTGCTGGTGCGGTCCCTCTGCAGGTAGGTCTGTGCAAGTCTGATCAGTAGAAGTGCAGTTAATAATCCCCCTCCTTCACTGTTCTTGTACACGTCTTCAACATTGCAGCACTGTACTGTGAGCGTTATATTGCAAGAGTCACACGCCTCAGTGTGGGATTTGTGCTGCTCAGAAAATGTGGAAATACCTGAATAAAGGTTTGGCCTGTTCTCAAGGTAAAGGCTAGTTAGAGAGTTTGGGTTCAGATCAAGACCCATGTGTGAACTGAAGTTTTGATGGGACATTTTTTCTGGGAATTCAGTCTGCTTTAATGAACAGGTTAAGAGTGAATATTTCCTGTGCACGTCGCATACCATATAACTTTTTAGAAATTTACACAATGTGATGTTAATTATGTGAGCATGTCACTTTGAAGTACTGAAGAAGCTTCATGAATTAGGGATAGTGAAAAGAGAGAGAAAGACCCTTGTCATTGAATGGGAGTCGAAGGAGGCCTTTTGCCTTGGTGTTGTGGTGTTCCTGCCTCACTGAGGTGTGTGTACACAGACTGCCTTTTTGTCTAGACAGGCCTACCAGTGCAGCGTCGGTGTTTGGAGCTAATGTAGCTTGTAGTCCTCAGCTTCGAAGATAAATCTGTGCTGGTCAGGAGGAAACAGGAAGGGATAAATCTCAGTAAAAATCCCAGTCGTTGATGCGTATTATTTCTCTTTCAATTACTTGGTATTCCTACATCAGGAAAAGTGTGCAATGCATTGCTAAGTGAGTTATGCTGGTCTCAAGTAGCTGGCTTACAGAGAAAATAAGAGTGTTACTAGCTAGAGGAGCTTTTTAAGCAGGAAGGGCAAAGGCACATATCATAAAGCTGAGCTTTTTGGGGCACTGACTCCTAGGAGACACCAGCATTGCTTTGGTGGTCGGTAACACTATGCAGTCCTCCTGTATGAGCTATGACTGAGCCCAGCCTTTTTGCAGTAGAGGTCTGAGTAAGGAATTTGGCTTTAACAGAAGTACTCAGAAAGAAATGCTCTCAGCAAAGTGCAAATACAGTGCCTTGCTTGGCTGTTTTGTTCTCCGTACCAATTGGTCTTACAAAGAATAAATATATATTACAGTTATTTACAGAATGATTTTTTGTTTTCTTGTTGCTCAAATGGTGGAGGATTCTTCTTGGTGCCGCGGTTCCTGTGCGCTCCCTGCTGACCAGCTCGAGCATCTGCTGCACGGGCGTCATGAACCTCGCTAGGGAAATGGGTGGCCAGCGCTGGAAGCTCTGCTGTGCTTCAGTGGCCTGGCAAAATTGTTTCTAGTAAAAGATAACAGAAAGGAATTTTGGCCTCTTCTGTCAGCACCTTGCTTCAGGAAAAGCTACATTCTAGCAGAGAATTATGCAGTAATGTATAGAGAACTGGTTTTCTCTGTGTCTGTGCATAATATATCTGGTCCTGTGGGACAACCCATCGGGAGTCCCCTAGATTTGTGAACTAAAGCCTCTGTGTAGTTATCTAACACAGGATATTGGCTGGCTTTCTGTTTTCCCTAACCTGAATTTAAATGCAGAAGTGGCTGCTTTGAAGTAGAGCATCCTTGGGTATTAAGGAAGGAGCTTGGTCTTTCGTATGCAAATTACACTACCATTGCACACCGATCTTTTATCCGTGAAGCCACCCAAGTTCTAACCTGGAATTTCAAGGTTTTCTGTCGGCAACATCCATCTTCTGTGGCCCTCCTCATATTAGCATTGATCTACAGGGGAAATAAAGAACACGGTTGTGTTATTATATACCCAGTTGCAATTTCTGTTCCAGTGATTGAGTGTACGTACAGAATTTTTGAAACATGGCCATTCTAACTTATTTTGTCTTCCTGTCAATAACGTGGCACTTGTCCAAATTATGGATCAATATCAGCTGATCTTTTTATGTTAAACTGTAATGAAGTTGCCTCTCATTGGAGATGTGATCTTGCTTCAGGCAATGCTTTTAACTGGGAACTTTTGGGATGGAAATGGGAGAGGGAGGAAACAAGTAGGGGAAAGAGATGGGGAGGAATGAGTAAACGTGGAGGGGTGAAAAGCAGCAGATGAAGAAAGAGGCAGAAGTGGGGGAGGAAGAAAAGCAGGGTCAGGATTATGGAGAGAACTGGCTAGTTAGGGGTTGTAGCACTGTGGTTAATAACCCTACTCTTCTGTGCTGTCCAGAAGCCAGTGGTACACACTGGTGCAAAAACCTCTTGAGTTCTCAGACAACAATTCCCTTAACTTTTTGGCCCCTCACTTTGTTTCAAACAGTATGTGAAATTAAATACATGGAAAGAACAGTGGAAGAGGAAATTGGAGGTGTAGAAAGATCAGTCTGTTTTTCCCCTGCGGGGAAGTAGAGCATCAGCTCTGTGGTGCCTTCTCTAAGCCTTTATCTCTGGAGAATTTCAGTATGTGTGTCGTGCTCTGGCTGTAACACAGGCTGTGTGA